TTCAGTCTTTCCGGCTAATTTTTGTTAGATATTGCTGACATAGAGGTCGGCTGGCCTACGTGGTATCGCCGGCTTTAACGTGAACAATTTTTAATAACGTTTTAATTTTTTCGATGTTTAATTTTTTTTTTCTTTTTTCTTTCTTTTATTTTTTTCTTTATTCTTCCTTTTGCCAGTGACTGGCTACCGGTCATGGCTGGGCAGGTTGGCCGCGCAAGGGTCACCATTGATCGCCACAGGCGAGGCCCAACCAGGCAAGGGCGAGCCCCGGCAAGAGCCGGCCTCGCCTAGGCCAAATCTAGTGAGGCCAACCCTCACCTAGGCCACAACGGCCTCGCTGGGGGTCACCTTCGCCCAAGCGTCGCCCAGCGAGGCTGCCTTGGGTCTGGCTAGAGCCGACCTCACCAAATCTGGAGAGGGGAGTCATTGCCAGGGCTCGCCCTCGCCTAGCGGAGCTTAGCCTATGGTGGGCAACGACGACCCTTGCCTACGCAAGGCCAGCAGCCTAGCCATCGCCTATGGCCAGTGGTCGGTCACCGACAGAAGGAAGAAGAAAGAAAAAATAAAAAAAATAAAAGAAAATTCAAAAAAAATATGTAAAAATATTATTAAAAATTGTTCATATCAGAGCTAGCAGTGCCACGTAGGACAACCGATGTTCATGTTAGCAATATCCAACCAAAATTAGCCGGAAGAACTGATTGACACTATGTCAAAAGATTTATGACTAAATTGGCACAAAAAAAGGTTTAGTACTAAATTGGCACTAATGCAATAAGTTTAAGACTTTTCTTACACTTTTCCCCACTGTTTGCTAAATGAGTTACCCATTTTCGCAGGAGCCCATTAAATATGAGTTGCAAAATGGGTCAGCCCTAAAATAACTATAAGATTCGAGATGCGCAAGCATTAAATATAAGCAAGAGACCTGCAAATTATGAATTCACTCTCTAGATTGTAACAAAAAAACTCTCTGGATTGGTTTCAAGGTTTTTCTTGGTTATATTCTCAATGTAACTAAAATAATAAAGTTACTAAGAAAAGCGATTCTTGCTTTACAATGTGTTGTTGCCAACAACATTGTCAAACTATTGTTGATTCCTGAATTTTGCCATTGTAGTCTTCTCAAATTATCAAGATGTGCTCCATCAGGCATGCTAAAAAGATGTTTCACTAAAAACGTGATGAAATACATTATCAGAATGTGGATGGATCGATATGAATCGACAAAAGTTGTGAATGGTACTTTGTTGATGTTGGACAAGAAAGTATATGACAACGAATTCAAAAGTACAACACCGGAACAATCATTGCCAATGATGTAAAATGCAAAAAAGTAAAGGAAAAAGATAAATCTTGCAAAAGAACGTTTAGTTATATGTAATAGAAATGTGGTGCTCTATGGGCCATTCATATGATGTTTATAAATTGTTTATAAACTCTGTTACTTTGTTGTATGAATTTCTACTCTCAAGTAAAAATCATGCCTAAAAATTGTGGTTTACTTAATTTACTATAAGATTTGAGATGAGCAAGCAGTAAATCTAAGCAAGAGACATGAAAATCATGGATTCCTTCTAAAAACTCCCTAGTTTGGTTTTGAGGTTTTGCTTGGTTATACATCAGACAGCTAAAACAAGAAAGTTACTAAGAAAAGCAAGCTTTGTTTTACAGTATTCGAATGCGAATCTCTCGATGAGCGGTGTGATTTCTTCTACACAGTACAGTAACAACCATGTCAAAGCTTGTGGCCTCCTCAAACAATCATTGGACTCAAGATGCAACAAATACCAAACAGCGTAATGTTAAAATGAAAAAAAGAACATTACATACGTTATTCTGATAGTGACAAGTGTTGAGATTTGAAATATGTGGTCTATGTGTGATTATGAGATTTAGAACAATGGAATGGCTAATGCATGATACTGAAACATAGGTGTTTATATGGATGGCTCTCTTTTTATGAGATTTAGAACAATGGAATGGCTAATGCATGATACTGAAACATAGGTGTTTATATGGATGGCTCTCTTTGGTGTGAGCTATATGATATGAGACCTGCCATCATGAGTAGGGGGGAGCATGGTCCCGATGGACGGTTCCCATCCAGGATTGGTTCCGAAAAATTGGAACCGAGAACGGGACCACCAGTCTGATCTAGTTCCCAGGTGGGTTCATAGAATTGGTCCCCAATCACTATAAAATTTCATTCTTCAATTAATATCATGGTGGATCTAGTTTCTATGTAGGTACTTCTTTGCAAGGGAAAAGGTAAAAATAATAAAGAAATCTGCATGAGGGTCTTACTTATCAAATACAAAATGATATCATGATTTTAGGATAAATGCTCCTATTTGGACATTTGGTTCCATCTCTTGCTTATCATTTGACACGAAATAATACTATCCTTTTAGGATGAATTCTTACATTTTATATATACCGGTCTGGTCCAAGTGGGCGATTCCACGCCTAGAATTAGGAACTGGACAGGTACTCAGCGATCCAATAAATTGGAATTGGGAACCAGACTGGTCCCAATGGGAACCGCCGCCGGTTCTGGGCCAATCCGGACCGGTTCTGGGCAATCCAAGTGATTCCCGTTTCCTTTGCACATCCCTAGTAATGACCATGCCTTCCTCACATTGCTACTTAGATATGCACAAATACCAACCTACATGTGTATCCTCCATTCATAGCTTATTACAAAAGCAATCTTTCGCTTCATTAGACAAGGTAGTAGAAAATTTCAGGAATCAATCATTGCCTAATTGCTATTGGATAATACGCACTTCTAGACTCAAGAACACCCAGTTGAAAACTTCTATAGCTTAAAGTAACGAGCACACTGTAATTGATCGTTTTCATATCGTGAGTCGCACGTGATACTACCTAATTGAGTGTCTTGTCCCGAACTTCCGCAATCTGGCTGAGAAATATGCATGCAACCATAAAAGATGTGCAACTATAAAAAATAAAAATAAAAATTGAAGTAGTACACAGATTTTTATCTCCCTTTACAAGGAGGAGGCAGGAAAATGAGGAAAGGGCCAATGTTGGACCATTTCTCCCAAATTTAGGCGAAGCAGGCAGTGAACTGCCGTGCTGGTGCTGAGCTGACCAATCTGATTCCGAGATCACAGGCACAGAGAGATTGGCGTATTCAATCTGTGGTGGCTCTTTTTGACACGTTCAGTTTCTCTCTCCAAAAAAGGTTTCCGGAGAAAATGAACCATGAAAATGGATGGGCCTACGATCTTGTTCTTCACCTTAGAGGCTTGAAGAAACAAAAATGAAATCTTGGAGCTAATTTTTGGGATCTGCAGATGGGCCCATCAGAGTTCCTCCACCTCTTGGGTCTTGATTGTACAGCTGTTTTACAGCAAAATCTTCATTTTCTTGGTTCCCTCTTTCTCATTTGGCAGAGGAAGTATGGTCATAATGAAGCTGGAAAATTTCAGCTTCGCTCATCCAAAAGGGCACGCTATAGAAGAGAAAGGACACGTGAATTTGGAGTTTTTAAGTAAAAATGGGGGGAAAAAGAAGAGTACATGGAAGAGGAGGAGCATTCTTAATTAATATAAAGATAATCAATATAAAAGGGAAAACAACCGGGGAATACTAAAAAATATGAATTTCGCTTTTTCAATGCAATGTATTTATCATGGAAAAGTACCAAAAAAGTCTGAAATCTATTTCATTTGTACCAATTCAATCCTAAATGTTTTAATTGGGCCAATTTAGTAATATACATTTTGCATTTATGTCAATTGAGTTCATTCGGCCAATTTATGCCAAAAATTGCTAATGTGGACGACAGTCGTCCTACGTAGCACGATCGGCACTAACATGAACATTTTAAATATTTTTATTTTTATTCAAAAATTTTAATTTTTTATTAATTATTCTTTTATTTTTCCTTTTTTTTCTTTTTCTTGTTTTCTTTTTTTTTTTTCCGTTTGTGGCTGTCGAGGGTCGCCAAAGCTCGTTGGCCACTAGGCAAGGGCCCCAAGCCCTCACCAGCCACCGGTGAGGGTTGCCGCCCTTGCCCGGCCTCCTCGCTCTCAACTAGCAAGGTCAATGCTGCCTTCGCTAGCGGCTGGCGAGGCGGCCTCGCTCGTGCCCACCTTCACCTCATTCGCACCTGGGTGAGGTGGGGCGAGGGTGCCAGTACCATAGATAAAAAAAAAAAAAAGGAAACAAGAAAAAAGAAAAGAAAAATTATTAAAAATTTTCATGTCAGCACCGTCCATATCACGTAGGACGACTGGCATCCACGTCAACGATTTTTAGCCTAAATTGGCCAGATGGACTCAATTGGAATAATTGCAAAAGGTTTAGGATTAAATTGGCCTAATTAAAAGATTTATGACTAAATTGATACTAATGCAATAGGTTTAGGACTTTTTGGTACTTTCTCGTTCTTTATGAATAGTGTAGAAATTTTTTGATAAGCTTGTTTGAAGTGAAATGTATTCTTTTCCTCCTTTCTTTGCTCGAATACTATCGAGGTCTAGGAAGATTACCCATTGAGCTTGATGCTGGATTCTTGCCGACTTTGGTCGGATCCCCAACGAATTGATATGGAATTCCACGAGTGCTGTTGCCGATCCGCCGCCGTAAAACGATTTTCTACTATATTAGTAAGTAACTCTAGAAATGCACTTTGTTTCCGGGGAAAGGAAAATAATTTTCCCCACATGACGAAACTTGGATTAAGGGCAAGAGGAGAGCCCTTTGCATGACAGAGAGGGCTGATAACATATGACTCAGTACCCAAGTCACATCCGAACCTACGTACACGTCATAATCCAAGATGGTAGCACATTAGGTCAATGCTACTATATCGGGATAATCCAAGGACTCGTGGCACAGCCTCACATCTTCCCCAGTTCATCAGATAATCTACAATTTTTGACCAATAAATCCGTGTGATTGCCTAGCAATATATGCCTCATCTCTGTCAAAAAAAAGAAAGGAAAATAGATACTGAACTCATCTTTTGGCGAAACGGAGCCACACAAGCATTGCATGAGACATTGTTCTTTTTCTTTTTTGCACTCTTCATGTTTTTCTTTTGTTGCTCTTTCGGATGGGGAAAAAGAAAGAGGATGCACAATTTTGTGATGGCTTGTGACCGACAGTTCGTTATAAGTACTTAGGACACAGAGTCATATACCCACAGTTTAGGCAAGTTTCAGTTTGGGATAAGACTGAAAGCTCATTTTCATTGCCCATTTCTGCAACACAACCTCTCACCATCGATGGAAGAAACAGCAAGAAGGTACTTAAGAGTCTCTTGGTCCTTTCACTTGTTTAGATAGTCACTGAGTATGAGTGGTGACTCTGCTTCATGCTCAAGCCCCCATGTCCGTCACTTGTTTTTCTCCTGTTGTCACAGGTTAGCAGTTGTGACCGGAGCAAACAAAGGGATTGGATTGGAGACGGTGAAGCAGTTAGCTTCTAATGGGATCAGAGTGATTTTGACAGCTAGAAATGAGAAAAGGGGTCTTGAAGCTTTGAATAAGCTGAAGAAATGTGATGGCTCGTTCTCTGAGCTGGTGGTTTTTCATCAGCTTGATGTTGCAGACCTGGCTAGTATAACTTCTTTGGCCGATTTCGTCGGGACGAATTTTGGTAAACTCGACATCTTGGTACGCCCCAAAGTCGGCCTTAACACTAATCTGTCTGAGTTTACATTCATGGGTTTTTATTGAGAAGCGGAGAATCTTTAGAAGCTGGACAATTGGACGTATTTTTTGTATTGTTTTTATGAGTTTGCTTTATTTGTGATTTGGAAACCAAGTGAATAATAAACAAAGCTGAATTGTCAGTGCAGGTTAATAATGCTGGGATTGTTGGAGTCAGGGTAGACACAGATGCTTTATATGCAGTAAGTAATCTTAATGAAACTGAGTGAAGCATCTTCTAGGATGAGCAAAGAAAAGCGCTAAACAACATGCATGGAAGTAAAAAGTACACACCGGTAGCAAAATTGAGTTCACTTTTGTCTCCTTAGGACTATTTAGTCCTAGAAACTGTCCATATTTTGGTTTTGGCATTGAAATAGAAAACTAGTCCGCTTCATTTGTTGTCTCGGAAAATCGGCTGATTTATGAGAGATCTTTTCTTCCTAATGCAGAATGGAGTGAGAACCCACTGGACAAAACTGAGGAACGAAACATATGATTTAGCTGTAGATTGTATAACGACAAATTACTATGGTGCTAAAAGAACTGCTGAAGCACTCATGCCTCTCTTGCAGTTATCCGACGCGCCAAAAATTGTCAATGTTTCCTCCTTCATGGGAAAGCTAGAGGTATGAACGGTCGGTTTTTTTAAGAGCGCTTTCTACATCACGTACTGTCCAAGAGAACTGTCTACAGTCTTGAGTTTTCACAATTAACATTCCCGGGACATCATGCATTGTCCTAGAAAAAATGTCCAATCCACTAAGCAATGAATTTGTCAGCGATGTCACATTTACAAGGATAAACCGTCAGTAAGTCGCCTTATACTAGCAGGTTTTGATAAGAATGAAATTGCAACTGCTTGATTCATAGCCTTCGATAATTAAAATTTTATGGAAAAGATTCTATTTGGTGCTATTTTTGTTACAGAATATTCAAAATGAATGGGCCAATGGCATATTGAGCGATGCCGAAAGCCTAACAGAAGAGCGAATAGATGAGGTCCTGCACCAATTCCAGAGAGACTTCAAGGAAGGGTCATTACATACAAAAGGATGGCCAACTTTTCTTTCAGCCAACACCATGTCAAAAGCAGCCATGAACGCCTTCACAAGGATCCTTGCAAGGAAATATCCAAGGTTCTGCATCAATTCCGTGTGCCCTGGCTTTGTGCAAACCGATATAAACTTCAATGGCGGCATTTTAACCGTGGAAGAGGGTGCCAAAAGCCCAGTGAGGTTGGCACTCCTGCCCAACGGCGGTCCTTCAGGTCTCTTCTATATAAGGAGTGAATTGTCCACGTTCTGATAAAGAGATTCTCCGATTGTAGATTTGACAATCTGGAAACTTTCGATGTCTTGATTTTGTGTCTTTGAGCTTTCTGAAAGTCTAATTTTCTCAACTAAGGAGACAGAACGATGAAGTTGGGAAGCATCTTGCCATATGGAGACAAACTGCAGTGGTTGGGTGAACCACTTTCCGAAGTGTACTGTTGTCTGGATATGCGACACGTATCCTTCACAGCTGAAACATCAATTATACTGGCCCACAAGGAAGACACCTATCTTGGATACCATCCCTAACCAAAGACATCCGAGTCTCTCTGTCTATCTTCTAGCGTTAGCACCTTTCGCTTGCCCCGTGTTTGTTTTTTCTTTTGCTGGCAATAGTTAACATCACCTTCTTGATCCTAGCTCCTAATATGCATATGCAGAGGGGCACATTCATTTCAAAGCGTCACTCATTCAAGGCCCTATGTCAAGAATGTAACAAACCCTAGTAGGACAAGTATGAGTTTATCTAATGTGATCTACATTAATTAAGATTGCAATTTAGGATTAATCTAATAAAGTAAGATATAAAGATTCTTAATTAATCTAATATGAGATTGGCTAGAGTGGGCCGGATAAAGCCCGGCCTGTGATGAGAGAACCTGTGACTAAAAACTCTATAAATAGTTCTAGTTTATCCTCTAATCCTGATGCAACGCTAATCGTGAGGGGTGATTTCATTGAGCCAGTGATACAGAGGTAATAGAGGAGAAGCAGCGGTGTTAAGGATTGCTATTCCGCATCAAGAATCATGGATTCCAATGATGCTCAAATCCTTTTATTCTCGACTAATATATTCTAGATTCTAGCTATGGAAATCTTGGATGCCGTTTTCGCAGCTTACATCTGATTCAAGAATGAGTACAAAAAAAGCAACATTAACATTGCAAAATCTAATCTAATGTACTATGAATGCTATCCTGTCTGTCTACGAGAACCCGTATGATGATGAGGCCATCACCAGAAATAGCCTGGCCAGTATCCCATATTCGATGACTGGGTTCTGCTGGTGTATCGCATCCTCACCTACAGAATCGACACTCAGGTTTTGAGCTTCTCTAAAACAAATTCTCGGTATAAGCATCAGTCTTACTGAGTCGATGCTGTTGCTGACAACAGCGGTCGGATCCTTGTGTTCACCTTGCAGGCCAATTGCTTCAACATCTAAAACCACAAGAAATGCGAAAAAAAGAAGAGAAACATTTAGAAACCTGTCTGTGAACTTACGACGGTAACATCAGGGTTGGATCGTGCATGCAAATTCTCAATTCAGATTCGTTCCATGGAGGAGGGAAAAAACAAGAAAAGAAAGGACAACCCAGAATGCTCTGAGCAATCCGCGTGGCTTTGGAGGACCTGCTCTTCTCGGTGTCGCCATGCTGGTTCAGAGGGAACTTATCGACCACCTTTTGCTGCAATCAATCCAGAACATATACGCGTAGCGAGTCATTCAATTTACTTGCAGGCGACATGATCAAGAAAGTGTGCGGTGGACACGAGGGAAATGGAAGTCGCATACCTTCATGTCCACTCCGTCGTCCCTTTCCAGAGTCAAAGAACGTTTGATCAACGTTCCTGGATCGAATTCATGGGCTGTTTCGAAACGGTGCAATCATTGATGAGGGACTCTTAGCTTCGATCAAATGGGGTGTTCTTGTTTTCCACGATAAGGGAACGAACGAACTGTCGTCTCGAGCTTCAAGAATGTAATAAATCATCGGATTAGTGGGCCTCGGGACCCTTAAAAGAGTTTCATAGGCCACACATGTTGTTGGGCTTTGCATTGTAGGAGCTTTTTCTTGTCCCGACCTTCTTCAAGAACAGAGAGTCTTTGACTAGGGAGGCGGCGCAAGCGGCACCAACAGTCCATCCATGGCGACGGGCGGCGGCGGCGGCGGCGGCGCCGCGACGGCTGAAGGGCGTAGGTTCTTCGTCGCGGTCCACGTCGGCGCTGGCTACCACTCGCCTTCCAACGAGAAGTCGCTCCGGCTCGCCATGAAACGCGCCTGCCTCGCCGCCGCTTCTCTTCTGCGCAAGGTCTGTCTTCTCTATCGATTAAGCTATTTGAGCTTCCTCGATTAGTAGTAGTTTTTTTCCTGAATGCTGCATCGTTCGGCGATTGGAGATGAGGCGATGCTCTATTGACGGTTCCATTTCTTGTGTGGCGTCACGGGTGTAGGCTTCCGGTGGATGTCTGGACGCTGTTTCAGCTGCCATTCAAGTGCTTGAGGTAGGGCGCATTATTAGTCCTGTAAAAGTGAATACTTTTCCACAAGATTTCATCTTTTTCTCCGAGTCGAATCATAGAATTCTGTGGGGCGTGGGGAATTACTTTGGATGCGATAGATGAAAGCTGAGTTGATGAGAGAATTTACTTGTTTCCAAGCCAAAGTGGGTGAAGAACATGTAGAGGGTAATTTTGAAGCACAAAGTAGCTACTTTGAGGAGTTAAGCATCTCTTTCAAACATAATAGCCATGGCAAGAAAGATTCGGATGCGTGGTTACTCTTCATTCTGTGAAATTTATGACGAGTCGCGCACTAATGGAGTTAACATTCCAATCTGTGCTCAGAATTTTGACTATAAGCCAATGATGTACCATGTTTTTGAGAGGTAGCCGTTGGATCAGTCCCATCTATGTCAATGTAGGAACATAAGAAAGGTTACAGAAGACTTTCTCCTGTAATGCAAATTCTTGTCATGGACATACCCATTTGTTAAGACCATCTCATATGAAAAATCTGCAAAATAACTTGTAATTATTTCACTGGAAGGATGATCCTATCACAAATGCGGGACGTGGGTCCAACTTGACAGAGGATGGTCACATCGAATGTGATGCCAGCATAATGGATGGTGCTTCTGGGGCATTTGGAGCTGTAGGAGCTGTGCCTGGTACTCACTGTCCTATTGCCCTTACTTATTAGATTTTTCATTGAGTTGGTCCTTTTCAATGTATGTCGGTTTTACGTGATCTCTGTAAAATGCTCTTGATGTCTCTGAGTATTATTTCTTTGCTATAGACCAGGTGTCCGAAATGCTATTCAGATTGCTACTTTACTAGCCAAGGAGCAGATGCTGGAGTCCTCTTTATTGGGTCGGCTACATCCCATGTAAGATTAAGTTCCCTTAATTTGATTTTGGCTTATAATGGTTGTGGACAACACCCACCTCTGAACCCAACTAATCACCCCTGGAAGGAGGAAAGCAATAATCTCGAGGCATTTCTGAATGCTGACACTCTCTATTACCCTTGAAACAGCAGTAGTTACTCTAGTCTCTCATGTTGCCCAGTCTTTTCAGCTTCCTTGTCATAATATCTGGTCTTTCTAGTTGTTAGATTTGGAACTTGGTAGAAACTGGGAGAAACTGCCAGATGTCTGCTGCGCCTTAAATCTATCGTTAATGTTATAAGCTATGTAGTAGCAATGAAAATACTTATGAGTCTGGCAAATTTGTGCCATCTTTACTGTAGATTAACCAAATGACTATGAGGCCGTTCTAACAGTATCCCAGATCATACGGCATCTATGTTGTTCCAGTCCCTTTCTATTTAACGTGTTTGATTTGAGGTTTCCTTGTCATAATTTTGCAAACACCATCAATGACAAGAGAAAAGTTGCTGAAAATGTCCATTTGTCAGTAAGGCTTTCTGGTACTTGTATATTGTGGGTATGCCGTTGCATCGTTCAATGTCCTTAGGTCCCTTTTACATAACAGTGTTGAGTTATGTTTCCTTCTGACAGGTTTTTGGTTGGTGAAGGTGCTCGCAGATGGGCAAGGGGCAAGGGTGTTGCTCTGCCTGTGACTATAGCTGAAGCTGAAGAGGTTCCAGTGCTTGATTTCTTCCTTTTTATGTCAGTTGATTGCATATTTGACTGTAATTATACTTTTCGAGTCTGCCATCTGAAACTGTGCACATTGCATATTTTAAACCAACAGTGGCTGGTGACAGAAAGGACAAAAACACAATGGGAGAAATATAAAGAAATGGTTAATGATGCTAGAGCTGAGAAAAAAACCATTACCGAGCAACCTATGACCCGGGAGCCAGTTGAAGTGTTAGGTATGTGTCCCTAAGAGGCTGAAAAATATGCATTTCTTGAGGGACTAGACTAACTGTTGCGTTATATCTTCTTATTGACAAAGACGATAGCATCATGGACACCGTTGGAGTTATTTGCATTGACAATGAGGGACACATAGCATCTGGCGCTTCAAGTGGTGGTATTGCATTGAAGGTAATTGGTCTATTTTGAAAAAAATTAAAGTTAGCATAATTGTCATCATGATATTAATATCTGTAAAAATGACAGATTAGTGGCCGTGTCGGATTGGCTGCAATGTACGGCGCGGGTTGTTGGGCATCTTCAAAGGGTCCATTTGGGGCTCCTTTTATTACGGGCAGTTGTGTCTCCGGTGCAGGGGAGTACCTAATGAAGGGTTTTGCAGCTCGCGAGTGCTGCGTCTCATCATCAATGTATGATCTATCCTCGTTAAATATCTATCAATGAGGCTGTTTCTTTAAGAGACGAAAGAATGTATGTAACTGCTGTGATGGTTTTCTTTTTTTCTGGCAAGTATGTGATACTGATTTTGTTAATCTGAGTAACTTTTTGAAAGCAATGTTTGGGGCTGTTTGACCTAGTAAATACATGGCCATCATGAAATAATGATGCACTTTCCGTCACCATGCGGATAGATGGAAATTGAATTGAAGAAAGCTTGCCTGTGAGAATTATGATAACTTCTCTCTCCTGATTATCACATTCTTTGGTAGGTTTAGCTTTTGCTTATGCTTCCGGCGGAGGCTTAATATTACTATAGACCAACTAATCCGAAATAGCTATTTTTACGATGTAGTTCACAGGCAGGTCCTGCCTCTGCTTGCATGAAAGTTCTACGTGCAGTACTCCAGGAAAGCAGTCAACATGGTATTGATGGAACTGCCGGCATTTTATCAGTTCAAGCTGATGCTTCTGAGCCAGTACGGCGAGTTAAACTTTGTGCTAGTTGCGCTGTAGAGATTATCTTGGCATCAATTTTTAATTTTTTGTGATTGTAATTATTTTAGGTTCCAGGATCCTCACCGAAGCTGAATGCCGTAGAGATTGCTGCTGCTTACTCTTCGTCATCATTTGGTATTGGATACTTTGGAAGCTCAATGGAACGGCCGAAGGTATCACAAGATTAAATTATGGACCTTCAATATCTATCTCTGAAATCTTTTAGAATCGGCTTATTTTTCTTTTGTTACTACCCAGAAAATGAAGACAACGCGCAGCTTGTTTATATTGAATGAAGCCTGCAAAATTTAATTCTAGTTAACTTGTAATGGTATCACAAGATTAAATTATGGATCTTCGATTTCAATCCCTCGTATCTTTTAGAAACGGCTTATTATTCTTTTGTTACTACCCAGAAAATGAAGACGGCGCACAGCTTGTTTCTATTGAATGAAGCCTGCAGAATTTAATTCTAGTGAACTTGCACTGTCTGAGATCATGATGTTGACATGCAGTTTAGACTCTTAGCAATGTTAAAAGGTTGTGGGTGGTATGATATAAGGCACTCTGAATGCTTGATCAAAAAACAAAGTGCATGGGTCCTTCGACTCCTTTTTCTGTTAGAGATTGATGCCATGACTAGAATTTAACGGTATAGTCTTATGGGTTTGAGATCATGCATCCTGAAGCCTGGAGTGGCTAGGGTTGTCGGCACTCCGTAATTTATGTGCTAGTCTTTCCTATAATTTTCTGATGCAGAGAGGCTTGTTCTATTTGGTTTGTCTAGCTTTAGCATTATGGGATTTGACAAACGCATGTTTTTAGATAACCGGATATTGTGGCTATTAGTAAAGTCCATAGCGATTTCTTCAACCTCTTGGGTGATATTTTTGTTATTGCCTTTCAGTGTTCTGACATTCGCCCTCTGTATCTTTCAGGTTTCAATCCTTAGGAGTACAAAGCAGCAGAAGATAACTAGGATTGATCATTTTGAAGCGCGGATTGATCTTTCTGAGGACGGAGTGTTGTGATTGCTCATGCTTACCGTATCAAGCACTTGCCATCCAAGTAACTTCAAGCGCTAGAGAGATGAAAGATTTGTATACTATGGTATTGATTTATCTACCTCTCAAATTATGAATACCTAGCATGTCTTAGAGTCTATTCCTAGCTACAATTGAGTTTCCAGAATAAATTAATAGAATAGAGAGAAGCCTTAGGGATTACTGGAGTTTTTATGTGGCAAGAAAGGATTAGGAGGATCATATCAATTGAATTTTCAAGGAGGATTAACTCCATTGTATCAAAGCGATGGAAAAATTACAATACGAATGATGGTTGCTGTTAGTTTTTTTTCTGTAGGAAGCATAAAGCTTTTGAATTGCTTGTTATTTAATTATCCTTATTCAAGTAATTTCTTCTCTAACTGGGTGAATCTTGCTAGAATTTTGTTCTATCCACCTCCGCGGAAAAAATGTTGAGTTAAAAATGCCCTCCACATGATTAATAGAGGTGTCAATTCGACCTCTATCATCTGCTTGGTGAATTTACCACTAATGTTCAGCTCAACTTTCCTATGATACATGAAATTACAAGAAGGATGCTTCAATTGATCCATATGTACTCATGTATTGCCAAAGGAAAATTAGCAAGCAGGTTTGCGGTCAGACTTGGCTTTGCACTCTAATTCTGAACATGTTGTACTCATACCAATTCAGGAACGACACGAGGAGCTATCGTTCAGTCCATTAATCATCTATGCAAGTCCTCGAGGGATAAAGACGAGAAAAAGGAAGAGGGGTGAATAATCAGCTTCAGGATGAAGAAAAATCGGTGTATGAGATCATAATATGAGCATAATACAATCAAGCAAACACAGGAAGAATTATACTTGGAACAATCAAACAAGAATTTCAATCTTTTGCCCCCCAAAAAACCGAAAACAGATGACCGGCTAACCAAGTTGCAAAAAACTATCAAGGAGCTCTAAGCAGATAGGCGAATGCAAGACTCTTCTTGCATCTCGTGGTTAGCTTCCATCACTGGCTCAGCAGGCTCGGGTGGTGGGGTACCAGAGGAGGCATTTCTCCTGTGCGTGGCAGAGTCGAGCACATGCTTGTAGTCGCCCTTCTCCATGAACAGCCGCGCAAAATGGTGTCTGCAGTAGAGAACTCCATCGAGGGCGGCATAAGAGGAGTGCGTCAGAGGGCATCCTCCATGCGCACATCTGAAGCATGTCTTGTGGTAACACTCCCCCTCCATCGTCACCTATTTACAGGAACAAACCATCATGATGTATCCGAAAGCTCTACATCGATGTCCTCGCATTTACCAAATGGTCCACGGCAACACTTCTTGTATCAAATCGAGGGGAAATGTAGCTTGCCAGAGACACTAGCTAATGAATCAGACATGATCACACCAACGCCATGAAATACTTGAAACCTCTGACTTATAATTCTGATTGCCGAAAGGAGTAAAACTTTACGAACCTTTTCCAAGGGGTAAACGGTTTTGTTGCAAGTGGAACACTTGTCCAGGGTTCCGCTGAACAAGGAAGAGAGCTTGCTGGGGGTTCTTGTCTGTAAAAGGTTGTTAGGATTATCAATCAGGTAAAAGACAATAACATAGAAAGGGCACTATGGATGATGCTTTTTTTTTGCCTGAATTAGACAACCTCAACCATCCCAAGGATAAAACACTGGACTTCGTCCCGGATTAAACCTCAAAAGGATGATTCATTTGAGGTTATAGATAATTTTATTGAAACAAAAAGAAATTATGAAAGAGCATTCTGACATCCTGAAAATTAATATGATGGTGACGAAGTTTACCAGCTCATTCGGCTTGTCAGACTTGGCTGCCACGGCACATCATAGGCAAGATATTGTCAAGAGAAGAATAGTTAGTGCAAGATCTGGTAAAACCGATGAGAGCGAAACATGGCACGGAAGTTGTACCTGATTGGAAATTCTTCCTGAAGTCACCGGATTCCTTGAAGAGTTGCTCAAAATGCGTCTTACAGTAGAGAACACCATCCATTGAGGAATAGTTGCTCATCTACCAAGCCATGTACATCAGTACAGTTTTGATATAGGAATAATAGGAAAAGTATCGCTTTATCACATAAAACCAATTCCGAATCTTTCATTCACACTCAGAATCCAAAAATGGATGGCGATGTACATAACATTAACATCCAGAAAATGCAGAAACATAACATACCACAAGCGTCCCATTGCAATGGCTGCATCTGAAGCAGGTTTTGTGATAGGGATTGCCTTCAAGAGTCATCATATCGACGACATGAACGGTCTTGTCACAAACCTTACATTTATCCACGGTTCCAGTGAAGGCCATCTTTTGTGTTTGCTTGAGCAGATTGAATCTATGCTTTGTATCTGATCGTCCGAGGGTCAAAGAAGATTCAGCAAGAAAAACTGTCAAACCCTTTTCTTGCTACCCCACCTCAGACAAGTCAGATTGAACAAAAAACTCTTGGATATGTGTGAAAAACTTCAACGGATCACACGTTATAATGGGTCTTCGCCTTTCCTTGGGATGGTGGGAAATGGCATTCCAATTTTCTTGGACAGTTGAATGGATGTCCATGTTTGGGAGCTAAAAATGGACAATCCTCCTCTGAATGCATATGCATTGCCAGGGTAGGGGAATGAAAAGAGGGCATGTGTGTTTGACCTTTTCAAAAGTAGATGTTGGGCTGAGGCCAGCCAATTATACTTGGCAATTTATCTTTTTTGTCTTTGTCAAATGAGGTGGCCGTCCAAAATGTTTTTGACTCAGAGGTGATTCATAAGTCGATGACCTCATACGCAAATCAATCCAGAGTGTCATTTGTAGGTTTCATTTCTTGAAATAGATAAGGTTACTCATATAATAGTTGGGACTACTAAATGAATCGATTGTGTAGTGAATATGCCAGCTCCTCCTTTACTGCCTATCCCTCTCTCTCCCTATCACGAACAGGCTAGTCGCCACCTCCGGCGATGGTGACGACACCGAAGGCGTCCCTCGGCCCCCTCTCCACCGCCTATCCGCCAATGTCAGACCACCCGCTGCTCTTTCTTCCCAATGCAATCCATCAATGATTGGGAAATGTCCAGCATGCGAACTTAAAAATGAAGCTATTGAGAGTTTCCCAATAGTTTTCAAGTATATTCCGGCCTTTTAATCCTATAAAAAAAATACACGCATACCTTTCAAATCTATCCCGAACCATTTAGCAATATTTCATGAGGTTTCTTCCTAAATTTCGATTTTGTTCAACTTTTAATTTTTGTATTTTGAGTGATTTTTTCACACCCCTTTTCTTTCATTTTTAGCTTTCAAATTGGAAGATATGTTTATGACTTTACGTTAGCAATTTTTATTTGATTTCGTATTTTGTATTACTTTTGTAAATGAAAAGTTAAAAGATTAGGTTCTTTTAAAGTAATTATGACCTTAATAGGAAGAAAAAAGGATAATTAAACAATGGTTTTTGGAGTGAATATAATCTTTGGATACATTTGATAAAGACTTTAAAAGGTGGAGGACTTATTTTGATAACCTAATAAGGTGGGAATAAGATTGAAAATTGGAGAAAAGGTGAGGATTTTTATTGCAATTTTGCCTTAAAAAATTGTCAGGAAAAGCCATGTTCCTGCATTCGAGATAAACACTATGCATAATTATAAATGGATAAATCTGTATTATATGATATTAAATACAATCGTCGAGAGTTATATATCCATGAACTTCCAACGTTTTAAATTTGAAATCAAGATCATTATGAAGTATTTCAAGAATTCTAACCTCTAATACATGTTTGCGGGCAAAAGTACACTAGAAGTGCCATAACTTGTGTACGGCGATCACTTTGGTGCCATAACTTTTTTTCGGATCACTTTGGTGCCAAATCGGAGGAAAATCGATCACTTTAGTGACTCTGGCCAAAAAGCTGACCTGGCATTTATACTAAAAAAAAATGGTCGACTTGTACACGGTGGAAATTACGTGACTTTTTTCGAATTTTTTTAATTTTTTAAAAAAAAAAAGTTGCGAGCGAGCGAGGAGCCCTCGCCGCTGCCGCGCTAATCCCACCACCGCCGGAAGGGCCGGCGGTGGTGGCGCAGTGGTCGGCGAGGTCGCCGCCCCGGCCGGGCCCGCGACCCTCGCCTAGCCCGGCGAGGGTCGGATCCGACAAGGTCCGGCCTCGCCTTTCTTGGCGAGGCGAGACCTCGCCGTCGCTGGGTCGCGACGGCGAGGTCTCGCCTCGCCGGATCCGGCCCTCGCCGACCACTGCCCCACCACCGCCGGCCCTTCTCGGCGGTGGTGGGTTATGGCAGCAGCGCGAGGGCTCCTACATGCTGTTTTTTTTTTTTAATATAATTTAATTTTTTTTTAAAAAGTACATGTCAACGGGCTAAACGGCGTCGTTTTTGGTTTTTAATGCTGACTGGACCTCTCCGGCGAGCCGTGGACCTCTCCGGCAAGCCGTGTCAGCGCCACATCGGATTTCCGGCGAGCCACGTCAGCATTGGCACTAAAATGATCGATTTTCAAAAAAGTTGGCACCAAAGTGATCCGAAAAAAAGTTATGGCACCAAAGTGATCATCATACACAAGTTATGGCACTTCTAGTGTACTTTTGCCCATGTTTGTGCCTGAACTTCTGATTGTTGTACAATACCCTGAACTTTTTTTTGTTATAGATTTTACCTCTTCACTAGCATGTGCAGTTCACATGATCTTGAGTGAGTAAAACTGTAAAAGTGTATCTTCATTTCACTTTTTGAAAGAAAACCCTTTTATACCCCCTGTAAAATGGTAAAAATATATATATGGGATTCGTTTAGAAAAAGGGAGAAAACTAGATTAAATTGAAAATTAATAACAAAATAGAAATGAATATATAAATAATTAGATTAAGTGATAAATTCTTGTTATTTGACGAATGTAGCCACTTTAATAGAACTAAATAAGATTTATTACGAAATGTGTGTGCGGTGCTCACAGGGGTTGCTGCTGACCATTTCCCCATCATCATAGGCTATTCCCGGTGATGGTGGACCGGCGACCCTCGCCGATGGCAGTCGATCTGAGCAAAGGTCGTTGGCCTCTGGCTGAGGCCTAGCAACCCCCGCCGACCATTTTCCCACCATCGCTGGCCCTTCCCGATGATGGTGGGGCAGCGGCAAGGGCTGGTCCAACTCTTTTTTTAAAAAAAATTATCTTTTTTAATTTATTTAATTTAAATCAAATTTGTATTAAAAATTAAATTTGGAAAAAACGACATCATTTTAGTTGCGACATCTAGGGGTGAGCGGTTCTAGGTTCCTTACAGGTTCCATTTGGAACCCGGAACCTACCCTCTAGTACAGATTCCTCGTTTTTTGGAACCTGGAACCTACCCGTTAAAACCTGGAACATACCTTGTCACAGGTTCCAGGGTAGGTTTCAAGGTCTAACAGGTTCTTTTTTTTTATTTCATTTTTAGTTAAACAAAACAAAAATGAACGGAATAAGCTTATTATTTACCAAAGAGAATACAAAAGACTAGTTTGCTTTGCATTACAGTTCAAATAAATATAATTAAAACAAGAAGTCATTGTGTGAATCGATACTAGGAGTCAGTGGTTCCATGTTTCGTATAGGTTCCATCTGGAACCTTCCCATGAGAATAGGTTCCTTATTTTTTGGAACCTAGAACCTACCCTATCACAAGTTCCAACTTGATTCTATGATCTACCCAGGTTCCACCTGTATTATTAATTGAATAATTGCAGTGAATCATCACCTTTAATGACCACAACTTGCTACTATGATCCACTGACCACAACTTATATAAAACATTAACAAGTAATAAAATGAAAGGTCACATTAACAAGTAATAAAATAAAAGGTCAGACTAGTGGTTCCAGATTATACACTCATCATTCAATGCCATGAAACACCACAGGATCACGCGAAGACTTAGACCAAGAAAAAACACAAAAAACTTGTTTAGATTTCAAGTTCTAGGTCAGGTTTCAGGTTCCAAGTTTCACCTACCTAGAACCTGGAACCTACCCGTCAAAATAGGTTCCCCAATTTTTAGAACCCGAAACCTACCCTGCATATCTTGAAACCTGAAACCTACAAGCTCCCACAAGTCAGATTCCCAAGTTCAGGTTCTATCCTAAAACCATGCTCACCCCTAGCGACATCGTCACGTAGAAGAAAGAAATTATTAAAAAAGCCACGTCAGTAGTTCTGTTAACCAAGTTGAACGAATTTAACAGAATAACTCGATTGTTAGGGTGGGGTTCATACTCCCCATCGACAAAAAAGCATGGGGCAGCATCCTTGCAACGCTAGATGGCATTTATATTTTAGATCTGTATTTTATTGGTAATTTGGGCTCGAACCCATATATAGTTAATGAGCATATATGATCTCTTTTAGAGATGAGATGTGTTAAATATTGTGAAATACTCTACTGGATGTAGCCCTAATTTAAGAGTGAACCGGAATAAATTTTTGTGCCTTGTTTACTTTTCCTCGCATTAACTCTCTATTTCGTTGTATTTGTGCGACTAATCCTAACATCGATGGCACTAATTTATAAATTTTAAGACTTTATTACATTTTTTTATAAATTTTAAAATTTAATTATATTTTCGTAATAAATTTTAGGCCTTTTAATAATCATATCTCCACACAAAAATTTTTTATTGATTTGGAGCAAAATCGTACTTGGCATGTGCGTGCGGGGCCCAGTTTCGTTGGGAGTTTATCTGTTTGGGGGGGGGGGGGGGGGATTATCCTCTTTTCTCGGTGACGTGTCCGTCTTCCCCGAAGGATATGAGCAAGCAGGCAGCAGCAGCTCTCACTGTCACGCTCATCTCAAGCGCGTGCGCGACACTTCCAGTTCATTGTTGAGACTACTATTGTTCTGTCTGAACAATCTCCAAGTTAGCAGGATCGAAAGCTTGCAATGCAACGCATAGCCAAAAGAACCAGTGAAGAGCAAGAGGCAGACACCCCTCGATTGACCGCAGGATCCTGAGAGCTAGAACTGGCTGACTCTCTCTCGCTCTCTCTCTCTCAGAGACAATGGCTTCTTGCTCCTCCTGCATGGTGGGTAGACCATAGTTCCTTGTACGGGTCCTGGAGCTCCCAGGGTAAGCAATCTATCAAATTCAAGTTCCTCTTGTCGTTCGTTCCCTTTGGTTGACGGCAACAAAGAAAGGGGGGAAAATGGGGGGAACAAAGATAGTAAAAGTTTAAAGGTGTGGGAATACATCAGTTCATCAATCATCAGTTCTGCGATGTATGAAGGAAGGAGATTTATCTGTCAAGCATCCCAGGTTGCGTGTGTTTTCGGATCACAAGTTCGGAGTCTTATGCGTTGTAGCATTCTTATAAGATGCCCCAAAAAGTGTGTTACCTTATCTTTATGAGTGCCCATTCACACATCATTTCAAGTATTGATGCTTCTTCTATGAGTTTTTGCCATGAGATCTCTGTTTCTGGATTATTTTGATATTATGAGAACATTTTTTTGCCGTCTGCTTATTCTGTTTTTCCATTTGGGAAGTTTGCGATTGAGCTTGATACGAGTCCATCTATAGCTGATCATGATCGATGCATCGCAAGCACAGTACCAATTCAATGTAAGGCAGCTATATCCATCTGGGAAGCTAAATTCAAGTGTGTGTGGCTAAGAGCCACATTCAGGACATTCCTGCTTTTTTTCTTTTCCTTTTTCACTAGTTTGCTACAACTTGGAATTTGATTCGTTGAAATCCCATTTCTCAGTTGTTACAAATTGATTTATTAGCATTTGATCCAGGTCTAGCTTTCAATTTTAACTAGAGCTGGTTACAGCAGAAGGACAAGGAGCTCTTCCTTCATGTACCAAGTCATTTATGTCAATGTAAATCCAGGGGCGTACTCTTGGTGAATCAACATCCATTGTTCTTTAAACAGGTCAGACAGGCCACGGGTACCGACTCTTGAGATGAACTCCTTGTCTTTACTTGGAAGAAATGGTGGAGGACAACAGCGAGGCAACTTTCAGGGCTTTGAATTTGGTTCATGTTCGAATGCTACCAAGGAGCTCTCTGCTAGTGATTTGCTTAGAAGTTCATCGAGAGGTTCTTATAAATACTGGTCTAAACTTTCTAGAGGTTCTAGGAAACAATACCGGTACTGCATTTTTGCAAAAGTAAACAAGGGTAGGAAGCATGAGTATCCCTGGCCTGATAACCTTGATCCAAACATCCCCAGCGAACAACAGTTGACCTATCTCTCTCACTTCAAGCCTCTGGCTGAGAAACCGAAACCAGTGACACTTCCTTTCGAAAAGCCCCTTATGGACCTAGAGCAAAAGATAGTCGAGGTGAGTTTCCTATCAAATGTGTTTGATGTCAAACATGAGGAATTCTAAGCTATGCAGTTTGTTTTCATTGCTTGTTAGGCAAATTAGATCAACCCAGTGAGAAAGTTAAGCCCGCATATTTCCCTCTCATGATCATTGTGTTAGAGTTGATACACTCACCTAAATTGCTTAGTTGAGCTGTTTAATGAAGTGTTATAACTTAGAAGAAGTGTAAAGGCATTTAGCTCTTCACCATTGTAATCTATTCAAATAACAAAACTCAACCTTGACATTCTTTATGTTTCCTGCAGGTTCAGAGAATGGCTGACAAAACCGGTTTAGACTTCAGTGACCAAATTGGTGCACTAGAAAACAAGTACCAACAGGTAAAATTCCAAAATTATCATGTGAGATGTCCCCGACAAGGTTAGCATAGGCATTGCTCCAGCGTTACATTTTATCAGCGTTTAGTTCTTAAGTCGTTTGGTTGAGCTTATTCTCCAGCTGCCCTCGAGTTCTGGATGGATTGTCCATTAGATGTGTAAAGGTAAAGGTGAAGAAAATATGCGACTAACGCATGTGCTTTTCTTATGGCATCTGGACTGGATGTGAGATTGAACCTCTTAACACCTTACCCATTGACACCCCTACTTTTCGGTAAGGTGTGGCCTTAAGGCTGAGTGCACTTTGATTTCTTCAATTTAGTCCTCCAACTCTTTTTGTGAAATCGAGTTAACGAACGTCACATGAGCACATTAACGGTGTTAACTAACGGAGGAGCTTGATTACATAAACCGTACAAGTTAAATGATTTGGGTAGCATACTTTCTGGCATTAAAAGTAAAAAATAAGAATAAGTTTCTCCAATTGAAAATAGATCCATTAAATATTCCTTATATTTAAATTAGAACATTATGTCATATTAAGATTAGAACATTGAAAGCTGCAAAAAAGAATACGCATTCTGGCCCTGTTTCTCAAAAAGTGTATATCGATTACAAAGATCAAATCACAAATTTCAATTCAGAATATAAGCCTAGTACGAATGAAAAATTCGCGAATCGCTTACACTTAACTTATGTCCCCTTAACGTGTGACGAAACATCACGCGTCAATTCAATGTCCACAAATCACAACACAGAAATTCCTATTCAATAGTCATCTCTCACCTCTCACTACAAATACGCCCGAACCACTCATTTTTCAAATGACAATGAGTCGTGCCGAAAGAACTAATGTGAAAATCCGCGCGGCGCTTACCTTACTTTAAAATGCGAAAACCTACCTCATCAAGGTCTACAGATTTTCTAACCAAAAAAAAAAAAGGGTCTATATAAGACATTCCAATCGCATCGATGCGCCAACAAGCATGTGTCACGGACTGGCAGTTCCAAAGCTGTGAAATAGCCCATCCGACGACCAGTGGGTTGTTAACACTAGCCGGTCTTTGTTCTATTATTGTTTCAAAGAATTGTATGGCGAATAACTTTCTCGTATCGAATTGCACCACACCCAGCTAAGCTCGGGCATCTAGTCTATCGAACGAGACATACAGAACACTTTAGATACAACATCTGGTTTCGCCTTGCCATGGCCGCATCAAGAGAGCATCATCAACTCCCGACCAGTTTGTGCATGGAAAACCAACCCAGCCTTCAGAGTTCGTAGAAATATAATCGTTTTATCTCAAAACTCCTAGCACCAACCATCCTGACGCTACTCTCATGAACTAGTTGTATCCATCTCTTCTGCATCAGTCACTTTTCACTCAATAATCCCAAACTCCATTCACAAGAGTTCGCGAGTACGAGAGAGTCACGGTTCGTGACACATATGGCATTGCTGGTAAAGAATTTGAGGGTGGAGCCCGAGAGTACTAGGTCCAAAGTTCGATTCTCATCAATACCGTACACCCATCTACATAAAAGAGAGGAGCAAGACAAAAAAAAATTTGCGTCGATTAACCTCGTAGGATCCAAACCACAAAAGATGTGAGAACTTGCAAACCTAATCATGCCCCCCTTGCAAACCACAAGGAATTAGACACGCGTGTTTCAATTTATTACGACGGAGCTAGGATTTTTAATTTTTTCAGCGGGGATGATGATGTGAAGGTTTAATTGAGCCCAGTTTTGTTTTTTAAAACTGAAAAATAAGTGTTGGAAACTGAATTAATAAACTTTCGGTGTTAACGATCTTCGAGTGCCGAAGAGGGAAATAAAAAGTTGTTTGATAATTGATGACTATAAATAATTTCTTTCCAAACATGGATTTTGTAGATATTAGGATTAATACCATGAAAAACCCCAAACTGGTACATTTATAACGAATTTATCCAAAATTAACTTTTTAACTACCAAAAACCCCAAACTGGTACACTTATAACGAATTTACCCTTATTTAGTTTCCGTTAAATTTTACTGTTTAATAACACACAGCAGTTGACGGATGTGCCAATTTTGAATTTTGCCCTCCGTTTGTCTCGGGTGTACTAGTTTGTGATTTTTTTTATATTAATACAATTTAACAGAAACTAACGAAGGGTAAATTTGTCACATGTGTACCAGTTTTGGTTTTTTGTGATGTAAATTTGTCACGGGTTTAACAGTTTAGAATTTTGGTGGTAAAAAAATCAATTTAGGGTAATTTGGACAAATTTAAGGTTTTTCGTGATATTAATCCTAGATATTATTAATAGGTTTTAGCAACATGATTGGTAGGATTAGATCTCTTCATTAAATTTATTTTTTTATTTAATCAATTAAGTAAATTTTTTCTTACTCAACACATTAGGTGGCTTGTGATCTAAACCAATTAATTAAGATGTGAGTCGGTAAATGCTATCGAAACGCGCTTAATTAGGTTATCGAACACACCCAAATTAACATAGATCATTATACAAACTTTTTCCAACTCGAGCTCAACTCAATACGATACTTTAAAGCTTGAACTCGGCTGTTTAAAATAAATAAATAAAGGAAGAATCAAATAATACAAAACTCTAAGGTGGAGTTTCCCCAAGATTAAAGAATGTCACTTTCCTATTTCATGAGGTAGAATTTTATTTATCTATGGAAATACACATTATAACTATAAAATAAGGCTTGTGACCCACTTAAGCATTAGGACATCCGGTGGGATTTGAAGTAGACTCAAGCTCCATTTGAATTTGATACAAATATATCAGATGGGCCTTAGCTATCCAACCTGCTATAGTATTTGCCCTTCTTCCGCGATGGGCCGGAGTTAAATTCGAAAATTGGCCCAGAAGATCACGAGCCTACATGGTAAGTATAAGCTCTGATCTGCGGTCTCCGTCGCTTGAACTAAAGACAAACTATCCGACTTCCAACTCGATGTGTTCATGCGCTTTTGCGCACATGGAATATCGAACCACGGTCTTCAACGCGAAAACACGGTATTATAATCACTTGACCATTATAGATTTTTATAGCGAAATGGCACAACGATTACATTCTATTATAAATTAGAAATTTTCTGGACAAAACAAAAGTTGGACCGATTCCCGAATAAAACCGGGAGTCACAAGGTCAAGTTCTCAATCTAGAACTGGCTCGTCCGAGAACCGATCATCCTTTAACTAGTAATATAAAATACCTTGTAGCATTCATTGCACACGACACGAACTAAATTGTATATTGGAGAATCGATTGTCCCATAGAAATTTAGCCATTTTAGACTTCACGGAGTTAGATTGTTATACCGAATTGTTATTCATTCTTAACCTGAGTTTTCCGAGGTAGAAACATACTGTTGAAGCCTGCAAAACTTTGCGACGCTCTAGATGTTCTGGTAGAAAGCTGCTCTTGATACGAAAGCGACGGCGTCTCAACGTCTCTCCTGTATGCCGCGACAGAATGAAATACTGCACCGCCGAATCGTGTCGGACATAGAATCACGAACGATGGGGACCCGAGTCTGCGCACTAACAGGAACTTGCATCGGGGGTTACTTCTTTATGAAGTATAGGATCGGGAGGAAAGTGCCATTCCTTGAGGATTGAACTATGAAAATGAAAAAGTGGCTTTTCTATCTACTATATAATTACATTGCTTTATTCTGATTGTTGCTGTCTTCTTCCCTATCTTCTTGGCAAAGACTTGCAAAGTATTGCCCTGAAAGAGATTGATGTAGCCCTGCCTTTTCCTTTTCCCACTTTTTGTTAATGGCCTCCCATTGGAAGCTTTTCCTAATAGTGCACTGCTGATCCTGATCATTATATATCAAAATATATTGTCCAATTAAATTAATATTAATGTGAACCCACTAAAAGAAGAAATAAATAAAAATGCACTACTATAGCATCTCTTATCCAACATGAAGTCGAAAATTAATTTTCTATTTCAGATTATATTCGGTCTTTTTAGGCTTCTTTTGCTTCGCGAAAAATGAATGATTTGGAAAATATCTTCTTAAAAATAATCGCTTGTATTGCTCACAAAAATAAACGAACGAAAAATATTTTCATCGTCTACGAAAATATTTAAATATAAATTATTATCGATAATGAAAATATTTTTCATTGATTAAATATTCTGCTCTGCTCATTTCGTGGAAAACATTTTCCTCATTTTTCGGCATTTGATTCGCTTAGGAAAATGAGTCAATGGAAAACCTATGTTTAAATTCAGAAAAATGATTTCCTCTTTGGAAAACCGGAAAACATTTTACAAATATATGATTATATTTCGGCGCTTGGACTTGAAACTCTACTCGTTGACACGGAAACTTCAACGTTGGTTCCTGGGCCCCTGGCATTCAGGACCAGGTCTCTGTCGCCCGAGCCTCGATGGTCCATCAAGGCCGAGCCTAGGACCCTACCACCCATGCCCGGGTCCATCGAGGCTGAGTTCGAAGGCCTAGTGTCCGTTCCCAATGTCTCGGCACCTGAGCCCTAGTCCATAAAAGTCGTGCTTAGGTCCCCAATACTTGAGCTGTGGTCGGTTTCACAAAGGTTGAGCGAGGCTTGACGGTCGGGTTCGAGTCTTTAGTTAATGAGACATTTGTTCCAATAAAAATATTTTAAAAAAATCAATTATTTTATTATTATTTTCCTTCTTCTTCGATCGGCCATGGTGCTGGCCACAGGTGAGGGACAAGCTCGCCAAATTTCGGCGAGCTCAAGCTCATTACAGCAAGCTCAAGGCATTGTGAGTAACGGCGAGCTCGAGCCTCGTCAACCTGTGGCAAGGTGCAAGCTCGTCTGTGGCCGGTCCTGCAGCCAAAGAAGAAGGAAAAAAGGAAAAAAAATGAAAAGAAAAAACTGAAAAAAGAAAAAGAAAAAAAGAAAACAATTAAAAATTCAATTTTTTGAAAAAGAAATAAAAATTATTAAAAGGACTGCACAGAGGAAAATCAAGTCAGATTTTCCATATCAAACGGCAGAAAATTTTTCTAGTTCATTTTAAATTTCAGTCAAACACCGAAAAATATTGTCATTTTCCTAGTAAATGACTTCCTGAAAAACATTTTTCAGGAACATCACATTTACTGCAAAATAAACGAAACCTTTAGTGTTCCAAGCGGTTCCAACAGGATTGGGCTTGCAACTTTCTAACAGGTATCAAGCGCGCTCGACCAAGGTTTGATCCATCCATTTTATATACGACCAGTAAATGTGTTGCTTGCGGATGAACTCTATGATATAACGTTAGCGAAAGTGTGTTTATCCTCTTGTATCGTTGCCCCCCACCGGTGAAATCAACACGCTCCATTCCTGCAAACCGGTCAACTGAAGCAACCCCAAGGAGAAGATGAGCACCAAAGAGACAAACTTCAAAGAAGAAAATGCATTGCGCGCGCGCGAGAGAGAGAGAGAGAGAGAGAGAGTAAATTCAAATGGTTGACAAATTCGATGTTTTCAATACGATAAAATTTTATAGCAATTTCTCTTAGTTTGTTTTACAAAAAAATGAATTATTTGAAAAAAAATATTTTTCTAAAAATAACCGATTGAAATAATGTGCCAATGAAAAATGTTTTAATTATGGACAACAATTTACTTCCATACATTTTTTTGGACGATGAAAATATATTTCGTTCATTTCATGTTTGTAAGCGATACGAGCGACCATTCTAAAGAAAATATTTTCCAAATTATTTATTTTCAGTGAAACATACAAAGCATTTGTTTTGTACAAATTTCGGATAAGATTTTGATTGCGCGATAAAAGGGCATCATTGAAAATCTTTGAGCGCCTTTTAACAAGGCTCTCGATATCAACGCAAAATTCTTTTAGGGCGCGTTTAGTGCAGCATTTCCAAAAGTATTTGAGGTTTTGAAATGTCTTTATGTCAAAGTTGAAGTGTTTGGTGCATTCCCAAAGTCTTTTAGGGCAAAGTTAGCATTTCTAAAGTCCCTTAACCCAATGTAACCCTCGCCTAATATTTTTTTTCCTTCTAACTTTCCTCCCTAGTACTTTCGTATTCAATTTTGCCCTCACAATCACTGTTTATCATCTCCCTCTCTAAAATTGGCATTCCAGATCTAGATCTAAGTCGCTGAGCTGACGCTTCGCCAATGGTTGCGCAAGGCTTGTTGACGATTGGCGAGGGTCATTAGTGGTTGCAAGTCTGGGTTGTCAAGGACTGGGTTTGCGCGAGTTTAGGATGCCCGAGGTCACGCAACCCATGACGTTGCCTCGGTTGGCCTCTTCAACGGTTCGATCCTTGCTGGTTCCGATTGCTTTCACCATATTTGCTTCCACGATGGTTCGAAGCTCTCCATTCTCTAATAGCCATGCCCTTTATTTTTATTTTATTTTTGTTTTACTTCAAAACTACTTTGCAAAAAATACACCGAAAGTCATTTAATCAGACATTATTTACCTTGAGCAAATGCATCTTGCGTCAATTTGCATTTCCCAAAAACTCTCCAAAATGCCTCGTATTTTTAGTTTGATGAAGCTCAAGCTCGACTGAATTCGATCATATGGAGCCGGAGCTCAAATTCACGAGCTCAAATTTGAAATCTAAATCCAATATAACATAATTTTCCATCTGCATAATATTAAATAAGAACCAATAATTACTCCATCATGCTAAAGTTATTTCATGAAACAAAAAATAAAAACTCCGAGCTGGAGCTCTCTACTAAGGGTGCGTTTGGTAATTTGCGAAATAGTGACTGATTCTATTCTTTTGTTCCGTGGAACAAAAAAAGAATAAAAATCCGTTTGGTAAATTTTTTGTTCCTAGGCACAAATTTGTTTCCATAATCAGTTTTGGAGCAGAATAAAGAATAAAAAAAAAGTTACTTCTTGATTTTAGGAACAAGAATCAGAAATGAAAACGATTTTTTTTTCTGCTTCTTAGTTGGCTTCTTCATTTTTCTTGGCCTATGGCTAGTCACCGGCCGCCGGCCACACGCCAGGGCTGGCGAGGGCAGATCACAGCCTGAGTGAGGGCCGCCCTTGCCCAAGCCTCTTGCCGCCCTCGCCGGATCTGACAAGGGCAACCCTCGCCTAGGCCGCGAGGGCAGTGGCGAGGGTCCAACCCTCGCCAGATCCAGCGAGGGCGACCCTCGCCCAAGTGGCGAGGGTCCAGCACTCACCGAAGCCAACGAGGGTGGCCCTCGCCTGTGGCCGGCGAACTGGCCATGGGCCAAGGAAGGGAAAGAAGAAAAAAAAGAAAAATTAAAAATATTATTAATAAAAAGAAATTTTGTGTAGTTATCAAACGTATTTCTATTCTTTTTCTATTCCAGGAATATAAATTTTGGGCAGTTACCAAACGCCTTCAAATGTTTAGAAATTATTTCCGAGAATGGAATAAAAAAATTATTTCTGAGTAGAAATTATTTTCGAGAACAAAATTGTTACCAAACTAGGGGTGTGCATGGTCCGGGTGGGCGGTTCCCATCCCCGAACCGTGGACCGCCCGCTACAGGATCGGTTCCAAAAATTGGAACAAAGAACCGCCCGTCGGTTCCATGGACGTGCCCGAGAACCGGACCGCCGGTCCGGTCCAGTCCTTGGGCGGGTCCATGGAGCCGGTCTCAACAAGTTTTCCTAGACAAATAAAAAAAAATCTGTGGACCAACATCGGATCAACAGAATAAAAGGAAAAGAACATAACTTTTCATACAATTCCTACACTATGATCGATTATATTAACCACATCATCCATAAATCAAGTGGGTACCCATTAATTATTGGGAAAAATGACCAAGGTATCCCAACTACACAAGAGCTTCAAACATGATAACAAATTTTCTTCTTTTTTTTAATTTTTTTCGGTCAGATTTTTTTAATTAAAAAATAAAAAAAATAAAAATATATTATTATTATATTACCGGTCCGGTCCAGGTGGGCGGTTCCACACCGGGAACCGGCCCAAACAGTACCGGTTCCAAAAAATTGGAACCGGGAGCCGGACCTGTTCCCTTGGGAACCACCGGTTCCGGTCGGGTTCCGGGCGGTTCCGGGCGGATCCCGGTTCTTTTGCACACCCCTATACCAAACGCACACTAAGGGCCCGTTTGGTAACGTGTCAAACAGTGAAAATTTATGTTCTTTTGTTCCCAGAAATAATTTGGGAACAGAAATGCGTTTAGTAAACTTTTTGTTCCCGGGCACATTTTTGCAAATATTTGTGCCGAGAAACAGTTTTGGAAGAGAAACAAGAAGCAAAAAAAAGTTTCTTCTTGTTTCTCGGCATAATTTTGAGAATCAGTTTTTTTTTCTTTTTCTTTTTTTCTTTTCTTCTTTTTGTGTTGCTCTTCTTGGGTTGTGGCCGTCGCCGCGAGCGCCGTCTGGCGGTCGGCGTCCGACCACGGCCCGAGGCCGGCGAGGCGTCATGGTCCTCGCCGGCCGCCGCGGAGGCGAGGGTCCCCCTGCCGGCGAGGGCGAGGCGGACCCTCGCCGCCCGGGCGAGGCGGCTCCCGTCGGTCATGGCGAGGTAGGCCTCGCCCGGATCCGGGCGAGGCCGAGCCTCGCCGCTGAGTCACGACGGCGAGGTCGGCCTCGCCCGGATCCGGGCGAGGCCTACCTCGCCATGACCGACGGGAGCCGCCTCGCCCGGGCGGCGGGGTCCGACCCTCGCCCGGGGCGGCGGCGAGGGTCCGCCTCGCCTCGCCGGCGAGGGGACCTCGCCTCCGCCGGCGGCGGCGAGGCGTGACGCCCTCGCCGACCCTGGGCTGTGGCTGGTCGCTGGCGACCGGCCATGGCCTGGGTAGAAAGAAAAAAAAATTAAACAATTCAAAATATTATTAAAATATTATTAATAAAATGAAATTTGTGTGTAGTTACTAAACGCATTTCTGTTCTTTTCTATTCCAGAAATAGAAATTTTGAACAGTTTACCAAACGCCTTCAAATGCACAGAAATTATTTCCGGGCACAGAATAAAAAAAATTATTTTTGTTCAGAAATAGTTCCCGGGCACAGAATGATTGTCATGCGCACATCGAGAAGTTCTTTTGATATTCAAATTGACCGGCGCTCGATTGGAAAAGTCAAAAAAAATATCCCACGTCCTCAAAAGCCCAAGATCTCTTCAGAGTCGGTGCCGTTTCACAAATACACAAGAATTCAGGGCCTTCTCCGCAATTCACCCACAATTCCTCTGACGCCCTAGGAGACGGAGAAGAAGAAGAAGAAGGGGAAGGGAAAGAGAAACCACTCCCTTCTCCCCCCCAAACATCCATCGTCATCTTCATCGTCATCGCCATCATTTCGAGCTTCTTCGCAGGCAAAAAGACAGAGAGAAGAAGAAGAAGAAGGAGGAGAAGAAGATCATGAACAATCGCTCCGGCCGCAGCTCTCGCGCGCTCTGATTCGCTCCCCCTCCTCGCCATTCCTCGCTTCGATTCGCGAGCATTTGCCCTAGATCTGTACAAACAACTCTCTCTCTCGGTGCGCGATTCTCTCTCCCCCTCCCTCCCTCCCTCCCTCTCCTGCCTTCGCCGCCGGATCGTCCTTAGGGTTTCCCAAATCGCCGCCGTGTCCGTTGGAAGTGGCAGCCTCTTTTTGTACCCACGGTTTCCGCCTCCAATCGACCCGCGCTCGGCCGCGCCCCCCCCAAAACCCTAGAAGCTAGCGGGCGTTTTGCTTTCGGCTTCCGTTTCGAGTCTGTATAGGGCGCCGGACGTTCGGTTTTAGCAGATTTTCTGTCTTTTTCTTTTCGGCAGGCAGAGGAGCGTTAGGTGTAGTCTTGGTTCGTTCGCCAGTTTGTGTATACACAGGAAGGGGTAGTTGTTAGCTTTCCTTTTTTTAGTGGATTCGTGGTTAGCGATGATGAACAATAGAGCTAGGTATCCGCCGGGAATCGGCGCAGGCAGGGGCGTGAACGCGGGCCCTGCGTTCCAGACGAGGACGCCTCAGCCGCAGTATGTGCAGAGAGGCCAGTTAGGACAGCCGACGCAGTATCAGCAGAATCACCACCAACAGCAGCAGCATCAGCAGCAACAGCATCAGCAGCATCAGCATCAGCAGCATCAGCAGCATCAGCAGTGGCTTAGGAGAACTCAATTAGGAAGCGTGGATTCAACAGTCGATGAGGTCGAGAAGACGGTGCAGTCAGAGGCCGACGATTCAAGGTGCATTATACTCGCTGCAATGCACGTGTGCTCGTGTGTTCTATTTCTGTGCGGTCAGTGTGTCCGTGGAGATTAGATTATGAGTGGAGTATGTCGATTAGTTGTGTCGGTGCTGAATTTGTGGTCGAAAGTGAATGTCTTGCAACTTGTGTTTGGTTATGAGTGGAATGTTTCGATTAGTTGTGTCCATGCTGACCTTGCCATGACATTGCTAGAGGCATTGAGGCTTGTGTGTGCCGTCACTTGCTTATCCGAGGTTTCACGAATAGATATTTTAGTGATTTGAAGTTGCTACCTTACACGTTTTAAGTTCCTAGACGTGGAAACTTCGGAAACTTCGATTTAAGAATTCGAGTATCGTGTACGTCGTTAGTCTGATCTTTGTAGGAACTTTCCTGTATAACAAACTTGCAAAATCGAGAAAGTTATAGAAAAAAATTGGAGACTTAACCAATTAAATATCGTGTCTGGGCACATCTATTTTTTCATATTTTGACTTCTATGAAGTTCCTTTCTTTGCTACAGCTGATAATGATAGAACAACTTGGAGTTATTTACTTACGATATTTATTTTTCCGCCTTTGTGTTAAGTTTCTCAATTTTTCTTAATATTCCGAAAAAAAACTTCGTTTCTTAAAAGGGTTTAATCGTTTACCTCTCAGCGAAGGATTCCATTTGCATCTATTGAGAAAAGTCATGCATGCGATTTATTTGTATGAGAGAGTGCAGTGGAGCTTTGGGAAGTTTGTGAATTACCTATTTTGGTAGAGAGATCGCTTTCTCATCGTTTACCTAACTTGTGTTACAAAAGGCTAGTCTCAACTTTCCATCCAACAAAATCTGATCTTTCGGCCAATTTGGTGGAAGATATCTCTTCCTCATATATCATTTCTGGAACAGCAAAGTATGACTATGTAGCTTCTTCCGCATCTGTGGCCTGTGAAACTTCTTTTTTTTTTTTCAAATTTGAGCTGAAAACATGATTTTCATCGAGATTTTGAGCTGGGAATATGTCCTTTGTAACACTCGCTATAGTTAGGGACAATGTGAAATTGGGTCTTTTTACAGGAATTTATGATAATTTGACCTTATTTCTCGGAAGGTTCTTTTTAATCGACTAGTTGAAGGTTATTTAGCCAATCTATGGAATTCTGCAGAAATACCTATATTTATGCCTTTTTTGAAACTTTTCCCTGCCAATAGCAGGAAAGCTTTTTGTGTATGCATGCTTGTTCTTCTTTCATTGTTGATGTTTTCATCTCACGAGCTTGTTATTTTATACTGACGTTTAATGCTTTTCCCTCTAGTTCACAAGATTGGAAGGCAAGGCTAAAGATACCACCACCTGATACACGCTACAGGACAGAGGTATGAGGCACATATCAGCCTGGGAATGGCAATTGTTTCAGTTTCTTATAAATATACATATGTTTGATTCTTCGTTGAAGTTGAAGGTATGAGAACTTTGAATGTTCGATTCCTTTTTATTTGCTCTAAGCATGGTGAGAGGAGAGCTCATTGTTTTACTTGTACTTGACATATGCTAGTGTTTGGCTCGTACTATTAGCTAATATGTCCTCTGACTTTTTTTATCCTAAAAGTTGGTCACCCCACCTCCCTCTCTCTCTCTCTCTCACACACACACGCACGCACGCACGCACGCACATGCACACGCACGCACACATGCACACCCACCCATTTTGCCCAAGCAGCGGCTTGAATTAGTCAAGGATTCTGCAGTTACAGTAAAGATTGATACTGATGACATATGGCCTTTTGGCAAATTTGGGATGGGAGGCAGCATAGTTACTCTATTGGGGTGAACAATATGATACCCTCATTTGGTAGTTTTTAGTAGCTTTTATTGTCAAACGATTTAAGGTGGTGCCAGTTAGGCTGCGCATGGCAACCATTCTGTGCCCAGAATCTGATTCTAGGCAAAAATGATTCTTTTTGATTCTGTGCCTGGAAATAATTTCTAAGCATTTGAATGCGTTTGGTAACTGCCCAAAATTTTTGTTCTTAGAATAGAAAAAGAACAGAAATGCGTTTGGTAACTACACAAAATTTCTTTTTATTAATAATATTTTGAATTTTTTAATATTTATTTCTTTTTTTTCTCTTTTTTTTTTCTTTCTTTCCCCTTCCTTTCTTGGCCATGGCCGGCGCCGGCGACCGGCCACAGGCCAGGGCCGGCTAGGGCCGCATCGCCCTCTCCGGCCACCGGTGAGGGCAGCGACGCCCTCGTCGGCGCCCTCTCCGGCCACCGGTGAGGGTCGCGACGCCCTCGCCGGCGGCTGGTGGCGGTGGCCGGCGGCCGGTGGGTGGCAGGGCCGAAGAACAACCAAAAAAAAGAAAAAAACCAAGAAGAATCAATTCTGAAAAAATTGTTCCAGAATCAAGAAGCTACTTTTTTTTTTTTTTTGATTCTGTTCCAAAACTGATTCTGGGCACAAAAAATTTAACAAACGGATTTCTGTTCCCAAATTGATTCTGGGAACAAAAGAACAGAATCAATCACTATTTGGCAAGTTGCCAAACAGGCCCTTATTGTCTAAAGCTGAGAGCAATACATCCTTCTGGCTTATTCTTTTCAGTTTATGCAGTGTCTCCTCATTTTTCTATCCAACTTTAACAAAGTTGATACTAGTAATTGCTCCTGGATACTTAGTTTTGATGTTTCTCTAACTTATTTGTGTGAGATGAAATGGACGGATGGTTAGGAAATCTGTGACAGAAGATGTTTTTTCATTATTGATTTGGATATTTTAGATCCCACATTGAAAGGTTCCATCTCTTAACTTCTGAATTTGACTACAGGATGTGACAGCAACTAAAGGAAATGAATTCGAGGACTACTTTCTGAAGCGCGAGCTCCTTATGGGTATTTATGAGAAAGGATTTGAAAGACCTTCTCCTATCCAGGAAGAAAGCATTCCAATTGCTCTAACTGGTAGTGACATTCTTGCTAGAGCTAAAAATGGAACTGGAAAAACTGCTGCATTCTGCATTCCTGCCTTGGAAAAGATTGATCAAGATAACAATGTTATTCAAGGTTTGTGTTGTATCTTGTTTTTTATTATTTTGGATAGTATGTGAAATTTGTAATGCTGCTTTCAGTTGATATATAGGAATTAGCCTCTGCCTTAAACTGAGAAGAATAAGCCAGAAGGGTTGCTTAGATTATATTGGAATTAGCCATTGCCTACTCTAAACTCCATGTTCACCATGGAGGCGGAATCTGATTTGGTCTAAGGATTTTAGGCATTGTCTTGGGCTCTTTTGACTTGATGAGCTTTGCTTCTGCCAGTACCTAAAAGGCTATCTTTCATGTTGCGTGATTGGCAAATTTAGGTTGACTCCAAGATCATTAGAGCTCAACTTAAATTGTTGATTCTCTTTGCAGTTGTCTCCAACATAAGCTATAGCACCTAAAACTTTGAAAAGTTTTGTAGCTTAGCTTTATTTTTGGCAATCAGGCTGCACAATGCCCTTGAACCAAAATGATACACTATTAATTAAGAGATCTTGCTTCACTTAAGCTTCGTTTAGCCTGTACCAGTAGCATTTTTTTCATATTCACAACTATACTCATTAGGTGACTTCGGTGTGAAAATAAAAAAGTTTGTGATGCTGAAATAATAAGTTTGGCATACTGTTGTCAGTAAGTCGTCTAGTGACATGTGTTATTTGATGCAGTTGCTTGTGACTTATGTGATAACTCTTTCATTTGATGTAGTTGTCATACTCGTTCCAACCCGGGAATTGGCTCTTCAGACGTCACAAGTATGTAAGGAGCTTGGGAAGCACTTGCAAATTCAAGTGATGGTGACCACTGGTGGAACAAGCTTAAAGGATGATATTATGCGTTTGTATCAACCTGTTCATTTACTTGTTGGAACACCTGGAAGAATCTTGGATCTTGCAAAGAAGGGAGTGTGCATAATGAAAGATTGTTCAATGCTTGTTATGGATGAGGTAATAATCTGCTGATTTAACTTGGTGATTTGTGTTGCCATTACGGTTCAGATTTCAGTTCTAGTAGATGAAAGTTCCATTCGCGGGGTACTGTATTCTTTTCCACAACTCTTTTTCTAATGCCAATTGTGCTGCTCAAGCTGCTAAGCTATGTGTGTTCTTGTTCTCAACTTAACTTATTTGTATGTGTCGGGGAGGATACAGACCTGTTTTCCTTGTTCGTTTTCATTCATAGTTTATTCCTTCTTAAATTAAAATGGAATCCTTGGTTGTTGCTAAGCTATAGAAATTTTCACCTATAGAAATTGAATTCCAAAGATCTAATGTATGTGCATCTATGTATTTCAGGCTGATAAGCTCTTGTCACCAGAATTTCAACCATCGGTGGAGCAACTGATTCGATTTTTGCCAGGCACTCGTCAAATCTTGATGTATTCAGCCACATTTCCTGTTACTGTGAAGTATTTCAAGGATAGATATCTGCAGAAACCTTATGTTATTAACCTTATGGACGAGCTCACACTGAAAGGTATTACTCAATATTATGCTTTTGTTGAAGAACGGCAGAAGGTGCATTGTCTCAACACACTGTTCTCAAAGGTTTGTTCTAATTGCTGATGATTTCGTGAAATTTTCCCTCTTATGATTTGGACCATTTGTGACAAAGACATTGTTCTATCTCCAGCTTCAAATCAACCAATCGATCATTTTTTGCAACTCAGTCAATCGGGTGGAGCTTTTAGCCAAGAAAATAACTGAACTCGGCTACTCTTGTTTCTACATTCATGCCAAGATGCTGCAAGACCATCGGAACAGAGTTTTTCACGATTTCCGTAATGGTGCCTGCAGAAATCTTGTTTGTACTGGTATGTTGTTGGTGTGTCCTGTTGGTTACTTTGTGCTACTTTTTACTATGGATGTGCAAGCTGATGTGTTTGTACTTGACATGCAAATTGTTACAGAGTGAATTTCTCTGTACATTTTTTCTCCAATTTCATCACGATTAAAGTAGCATAAGTATCTGATGTCCAAAAAAAAAAAGTAGCATAAGTATCTTCAGTTTCATCTGGGTTTGGGTTTTCTCTCTCTTTGTTGTTTTGAGCGGGGGATTGGGTGGAAATTGTTATTTTCTTACAGTAGGTTTTAGGATTTAGTTAGCTGTTTGTGATTTGATGTTAATACTTGAGTGGTAGGCTGCTAGGAGTTTGATTACAGCATAGTTTCTGTATGTCCAAGGTATTAAACACTCTTAGGGGCAACAAATCGAAGTTATTTGAGAGATGTGGCTTTTGATGGTTAATTTATGCTGCTCTTCTTTGGTGGTTCTGGGGGTGTTGTGATTATATGGTGGCATCGATTTGTTTTATTCATTGAAATAATTGTTTGCTTATTCTTTTACTTCTCTAGTCGGATCTGATGAATTTTTTCCTTTGTATTTGGTAACATTGCAGATCTATTCACTAGGGGTATTGACATTCAAGCTGTGAATGTCGTTATTAACTTTGATTTCCCCAAGAACTCTGAAACTTACTTGCACAGGGTAATGTTGGGAGACTCTTTCTCTCTCTCTCTCTCTCTCTCTATCTCTCTCTCTCTCTGTGCTCCTCCTCTTTCCCTCCCTATCCGCTAATGTGAAGCATCACAAGTTCTCTTCGTTTCATGTGCAGGTTGGTCGTTCAGGAAGATTTGGCCACCTAGGTTTAGCTGTCAATCTTATCACATATGAGGATCGCTTCAACTTGTATGCATTTCATTCCCTCATCTGTCTGGAATTGCGAGCCAAACAGTAACTGATAATGTGCCTCAATTTTTCGTACAGGTATAGGATTGAGCAAGAACTTGGAACTGAGATAAAACAGATTCCTCCACATATTGATCAGGCAATTTATTGTCGGTGATATATGGGAGAAATCTTGGTGCAGTACCGACTTGGAAATGGTGAGTGATGGACTGTGGGGTTGTTTTTTAGTTGGTATTATCATGTGAATTATTTTATGTAAAATTTCGAGACTTTGCTTGAAATGTTTTTGTGTAGCTAATAATTATTTTGCTATAACTTTGGTCTGAAGGTGCCTTCATTCATCATTTGTACGAATAAGGTTCAGTCTCTGTGTACAAAGCGAAAGAGTTTTCATTAATCATTGATTGGTAGTCAGTGGGCTGAGCTCGAATGACTGCATTTTCTTTTTATAGCACAGTGCATGGTTTTCTGTCCATTATGTTTTTCTTTTTTGACATTCTTTACAAGATTTGTAAAGTATCAATTTGTAACCTCAATTTTTACGAGGAGTTGTAGCTGAATGGGTCGAAGGTTTGGAATAAACGGCAAATCAAAGATTTATACGACTCGGGATTTAAATGTGCACTTCCTTTTTGTGGTTAATGGAGGATCAAGATCTCTTCTGAGATGAGGACTCCATGCCGAGGAATGGATAAAGTAATACAAATTGAAATTACGATTTGATGATATAATAAGCATTGGACAATAATAGTGTTATAGTGACAGAGATGTACACGCGCTTATGTATATATAGCATGAATCGGACTAATCCAAATAAGATTTGTGCGGTATGCTGGATTCAATTTACTATTAACACGTTGCTAATATCTCCTCTCCTGCTTTCAGGGGCCAATGAAGCTGCCGGATTCAATAAGTGGGCGCGGGCAGCTTGTGGAAGGGTAAATTGTGAGGGATTAATATGAGAAGACATTTTGGTGGACGCCCAAATATGAGTGTTAATGATGGTTTTAATGGTGTCTGGATTGTGTAACCCGGATTTATATCAGGAGATTCCTGAGAGTTGGTAGGTGATCTACACAAGTCTCGGGAAGACGTATGGGTTCGATTTACCTTTGAATTTCCTCAAGAGACGTTTCCCTCTTGTTTTCTCCTGTATCGTCTCGAATGTTCTTGTTCCCTTTGTTTTAGAAAGATTGATCACTGTGGACAGATGTACCTTGGGTCTAATCTCTTGCTTCTTCTCCTCCTCTTTTTTTTTTTATTTTTGGTTTTTTGTTTTTTTGTTTTCGTTTTGACTTATTTAACTTCCAGCCTCTCTCTCTGTTCTTTTTGTTTTAGATTGACCAAGGTAGGTTTATTTCTGTGTTTCATCTGACTACTATCCTCTTTCCCAAAATGTCCTGTTTCAGGAATTCGTTGCCAGTAACTTGCCAAATCGTTTTGGTTTCTTGATGTCTAATGGGACTTGCTAGTATTGGCCGGGCTTGGAAAACTGTGAATCATAATTCTCTCTCGAGCATTCGAATCAAGTTTTGTTGCAAAAGAGATTGTGGATGTTGTATGCCGGCCTGCATCTACATACATTTTCTGTTTTCTGGCTTTGTTGTGGCAACTTTCGTGCATAACCTTTTCCGACACTGGCTAAAGCAGGACTAGGATTAACTAGCGGTGAGCGATTTTAGGTTCCTAACATGTTCTACTTGAAACTTGAAACCTATTTTCGGGTATAGATTTCTCATTTTTTGGAACTTGGAACTTACCAGTCACAGGTTTCAGGGTCGATTTCAAGGTCTAATAGGTTTTTTTTTTTTTTTCATTCATTTTTAGTTAAAAAAATCGAAAATGAACACAACAATATCGAATAGGCTTGTCATTTACCAAAGAGAATACAAAAGACTAGTTTTTCTGGCATTACGGTTTAAATAAATATAATTAAAATGAGAAGTTATTGTGTGAATCGATACTAGATGTGAGCAGTTTCATGTTCCGTACATGTTTCACTTGGAATCTACTCATGAGAATAAGTTTTTCATGTTTTTGAAACCTGGAATCTATCCTATCAGAGGTTCTACGTCGATTCTAGAGTCTATATAGGTTCCATTTGTATTATTAACTGAACAATTGTAGTGAATCATCACCTTTAATGACCACAACTTGCTGCTATGATCCACTGATAACAACTTATATTTAAAAACATGAAGAATATGAAACATTAACGAGTCATCAAATGAAAGTTCAGACTAGTGGTTTTAGATTATATACCCATCATCTAATACCATGAAACACCGCAAGATTACGTGAAGATATAGATCAAGAAAAAACACAAAAAACTTATTTAATTTTTAGGTTTCAGGTTCCACCTACCTAGAATATACCCGTCGAAACATGTTTTCCAATTTTTTGAACTTGGAACATACCCTGCATACCTTGAAACCTGAAGCCTATAAGTTCCCACTGATCAGATTCTCAGGTTCAGGTTCCACCTTAGAATCATGCTCACCCCTGGGATTAACAACTGTTCGTCCCTTTATAGCACGAACCAAGACTTACGCTCGTCCGGGACACATTATATTTGAAGCGATTGATCGATGGAGTTCGTGTACGCACTGCCCGTTTTGCATGGGGAGTTGATATCGTGCCAAAGGTAGGGGAAAATGATGAACTAAATTGCTTAAGCGATCAAATTCATACACAGGCGGATGAGAATGTAATGAAATCCGGAGGATATACTGCATCGACAGTTTAACCGCGCGCAAGAGTCTATGCTCTTTCATGGGCACCGTGCCTTCACCGATTCCGTCATTGGATTGAAAAACAGAGTACCACCGCCGTTCGCGCTGAAATCCGGCCATAGGGTTAACATCTGTTGCATTTCATTTTAATGGCAAAAGCCGCGGAGCTCGTATAAGGACCGTAGACTGACCCGTATAGTACCCGAGCGATTGTTTGTTTGTTTGCTTGCTTGCTTGTTAGTTTGTGAACCCTTTTTTTTTTTTATCTTTTTCCCGAGCAAGAAAAGATCAGAATGTTTATCTGAAAACAGGGAGTGCCAGAGAGACTGCGTGACTCAACCGAGCACGCAAAACTCAGCTGAGTCAACAGACAGACATGGTGCGGAGGAGGAGCTTTCCTGTTCTGAGTTTCGTGGGTTTTGACCGCATTTATTATCCCCTTCTTCCCCTGTTTCTTGACATCTCTTTCCACCATTGAATGGCTTGTCCCTCTCGCAAACATACATTTATTTATTTATTTGTGAATAAGCTATTGATTCCTGCTATTCCTAAATTTATGGTTCGACTTTTGCGTTCGCGATGGAATCGATTTAAACTAGGACTATATTGTTTATTTTAGCGGATCCGTCTTCACCCTCGGCACGATATTTGTGAATTGCACATGATTTCCACCTTATAAGTTTATTTACCACCTTTTCAAAGACACAGTCGAACGGTCGTGAGTTAACTCTCTCAGTGCGTGCGAGGAAGGCCGAGATGCTTCCCGACATCCTTCGACGAGGCATGTATCCTTAACATCTCTGCGTACTTATTGTTACGATCATAGGCGCACACATTCTTTGAGAAGAGAACTCCAGATCCATGGAAGTTCTCCTCTTGAGCTGAAGCAGTACAGAAACAGGCTCATAGTGTTCACCATAGATTCGCATCCAGCCTCAGAAAGCTTCTCCACATAAGACATAAATCATCCTGCACAACAGATATATTTAACATCAAGTAATTCGATCAATACTAAGAAGAACAATATGATGAAAAACTCAAAAGCAGCAGAACTTATGTTTATTGCTCAACCAGCATTGCACCAGATACTGGTTAACAAAATCCATAACATGAATATGCAGATTTATCCCAGTCTAGCTGGCAGTCATCAATGAACGAATGGATAGCAGAGGAAGAGAGGGAGGGAGATTGTCACCTCAGACTGTGTCCGTACCCCCTCATTCATGTCATGTCATAGAGCCAGAGCCATTAATGACAGGACACACTCACCTCTCTCCTGAGATCTCATTCCTCTCTCGCTCTCTTCAAGAACACCCACCATTAATGCAACCCTCTTGATTGTCACTTCACGTGGTTTCGCTTTCTTTACCTCTTCCCACCCAGTTGAAAACCTCCCTCCCAAAAAAGGGAAAGCCCGCTTTGATGGGTTTTCATTTTTCTGCACAAGAGCTTCAGAGACTTGTGACCCGTTGAGTGATGATGATGATGATGATTCAAGATATTCAGTCCTCTCCTTCCTTCTTCTTCCCAAATCCCTTCGTTTGCTCTGGGCTACGAGCACTACTGGTAGGACCAACGCGATACATCGCTTAAATACGTGATGCGTTAGCCATTAATGTCTCTCCCAGCAAAAGTAAGTCCTATTTAATGCACTCCGCTGCTTAAAGCTCGCCGATCGTCCTTCCACTTCCCAGAAGTTGTGTTCAGTTCAATGTCGATCCGTCCCCAGATGTAATAACTCGACATGGGCATTTAGCAAACTCCTCGCATGTTACATGATCCTCTTGTCTCTCCTCTCTCTCTCTCTCTCTCTCTCTCTCAGAGATAGTCATTTTACTACTACTCTGTACTTCATTTGCTCTGTTTCACTCGCGGACTGAAGAGCTTCAGAGGCGTTTCTTGATTATCTCTGGGTATTCTTTTTTTTGGGTAATGTTGCGATAACTTCTTGAGTGAGAGAGAGAGAGAGAAAATGGGAAGGACACCATGCTGTGACAAGAAGGATTTGAAGAAAGGGCCATGGACACCCGAGGAAGATGAGATTCTTGTCGAGTTTATCAGACAGAATGGCCATGGAAGCTGGCGTTCTCTCCCCAAGCTTGCAGGTTGGTCAGCACTTCTCTCCTCCTCTTCTCTCTTCTTCTTCTTCTTCTTCTTCTTCTTCTAACTTTGTCCCTTTTTGTTCTTTTTTCGGTTTACTGAGTGTTTGATCACCATAAGGGCCTCTTAGAAACCTGTCTTATAAGAGGAATTAGTGTGGTTCCAAAGGCGAAGTTGCGATCTTTTTGCTTCAGAGAGTTTGAGAATGGGCAAAAGTAGCGTTCTTTTAAGTGGTGTTGTGCATCTGTATGAGAACATAGTTGGTAGTCAAACATAGTTTTGCACTAGAAGGCTTCTTACATATGCTGATATTGTGAGTTCATACACTGGTGATGGTTCTGCCGTTGCTGCTTGATAGGTCTTCTTCGTTGCGGCAAGAGTTGTCGGCTAAGGTGGACGAACTATCTCAGGCCAGACATAAAACGTGGCCCTTTTACTCCCGACGAGGAGAAGCTTGTCATTCAGCTTCATGGAATACTCGGTAACAGGTACCTATCTTACACTTTCGGAGACTCATGCCTGGTGCTTAGGCTGCATAACCAGCTCAGTGGATATGGTTGGCTTAGTTGAGTAGAGATAATAAAACTTCTGCTTGCATTTGGATCGTGAATAGCTAATAGAATGGAAGGTACCCTTTTGGGGTTATATCAGTTACCGTTGTTTTATGGCACTTGTCCTTTTAAGTCTTGGAAGATCGATAGTGGCTCGACTCTCGAACATTTTGTTCTGCCTAAGCAAGTTGATGATCGGTACATATTATCTTTACTAGATGCAAATTTTGGTCAAGAACCCAGAATACCGACGCTATCCACGATGAGCAAATAATTTAGCTTATGTGGCGAATTCTTAAGCTTGTGAAGGTTGTGTTGGAATTCCAGATAGCATCTTTTGAACTCTTACTTACATTAGGCTGTTTATTTTGTTGCTATACAATGTCCCATACATGCTTTAAGCGTTGGCAACTTGATTTTCCCTTGGTTTGTATCTACTACTTTAAATTTAACATGTAATTGAAAGTATCTTAGAACTGCTCTTTTTGTCATAGACGATTAGGACACATTGTGATTGGAAACATAAGTGTAGGCCTTTGACATGTTCCATTCGGGTGCCCAGGTGGGCTGCCATTGCTGCTCAACTTCCCGGAAGAACGGACAATGAGATCAAGAACCTGTGGAACACCCATCTAAAGAAGCGTCTTCTTTGCATGGGCCTCGACCCCCAGACTCATGAACCCTTCGTAGCCCGAGGCCCTATGACAAACTCACCCACATCTACAACCATGCGTCACATGGCACAGTGGGAAAGTGCTCGGCTTGAAGCTGAAGCTCGGCTTTCTAGGGAGTCCATCCTGTTTAATCCACTTCCTCTGCAAAAAGCTGACGCCGACCATTTCCTCCGGCTATGGAATTCAGAAGTTGGAGAATCATTCAGAAAGATAAACATAGAAATGGGAAGAAGCCCAGTTTCTCCGGCATCTTCATCTGTGAAGTGTGAATCCAATTCAGCCATCAGCGCCGAAATGGGTCCCTCCTTGGGTGGTTCTGCTGCTGCCACAAATGACGGAGACGACGATAAGGAATACAAGAGGTGCAAATCCTACGTTCAACTAATGGCTGCAGGGACAGAGTCTTCCGGCTCTAGTGCATTAGAAGATTCATCAGACACTGCGTTGCAGCTGCTGCTGGATTTTCCTATCAACAATGACATTAGCTTCTTAGGAGGAGATTACGATCAATATGCTTCATCTTCTGGTTTAGTATAGAAATTTCCGAAATATTTGTAGTGATGAAACCCAGCTAAGCCTTTGCCTTTTATAAGGCCTCTCCTGCTAGAGTTTTGAGCTTTTTCCATTGGCAAGAGGGGATGTGAACATAACAATTGACTTTATCGTAATGTCTAATTTGCTTAGTCTCTTCTGCTCCGCAGTATCTCGAAATTTTCTTGTTCTGGACCCTACTAATGCATTACACGGATAGGTCTCGTGTTCCTGGCAACTTCTGCAGTTGGAAGTTCTACTGATATTATTGCTTTTGTCCGACTTATCCTCCTGTTAGGCAGTAATTGTTCTGGAAAACTTAAAATTCCACGGGTTGTTCAGGCAGAAGTTTGCAGATGGTCCATGAAACCTTCTTATCTGTGGAGAGCTATCGAATGGGCATATGTAATAGCTATATAAAGAAGCCATGAAGTCCATAGGCCCATTCTTGCTTAGCAAAATTACTGACCCTAGGGAGGGATTTTAAATTTGTTCGGCAGTTGCTTTTAAGTATTTGGAGTTGTAATACGGTTAAAAAAACCACAAGCGACCCTCTGTTATGGAAGAGAGGCGCTATCTCTGAGCAAGGAAGCAGAGACTAGACACATCATTTCCTTCAAAGGAATAACAGGTAAAGATCAGTCACAACCATTTAAGAACTTCAGATATCACATGGCAAACAAGCCCTTCGTCATGGAAGCACAAACGACAGACAGTAATCTTCCCTTTTCAACAAGGTTCACACACTAACAGCATGAAACAACAGAAACAATTTCGATGGTCATCTTGCTTTTAAGTATTATTGCCTTCTGGTCAGTCCAAGATCAACGATTTTCAGAAACACCCGAGGAACTTCTTCGGCATGTGCCCAGTAGCACGGTATTTTGCAGCCACTTCCTCTGCTTTGAGAATTTCTTCACCTCGTTTTGCTTGAATTATTGCCCTCTTTTCTTCTGCTTGCTTGTGAATTAATGCTACCTTGTTTTTCATTTTTTCCCCGTATTCTGCCTTCTTCTTCTCTAGTTGTTCCTGCATACCATGAATACGGAACTGATAATAACCAAGAAAGGAGCAGATCGTACAAGGAAAAACTTAGAAACAAATGCTCAAAGCTGGAGAAAGAACAAAATGATAAGGAAAAAAAAAGGAGGAAGTGGGTGTTTGTGGACGTTACCTCTGTTTTTCGCAATTCGGCTTCTTTAGCAGCCGTCTTGCTGTTTTCCCAAGAAGTAGTTGTAGACATCTTTTTCTGTGCCCTGTTCATGCAAAAACCTTGCATTGTTTGGACACTCTCTATTATGAGCTAGCACTATAAACTTATTTGCAAGTAGCTCAATGGTGTTTCGGACACAGGAGGGCAATCAGAACAGGCGTAACAAAGAACTCTTTCCCTCATGATCATACTTTTAGACTTCTGCTCATTTAAGGAAAGTCATGCATTTGGCTAAGGCAACCCAATTCAAAACTCCAAGAAGATGTGTCATGTGGATGGCTTACTTGTTGTCTGCCTTTGTCTTTTCACTCTCTTCCCATGCCTTTATGAATGTCAATTTCTTTTCCTTCTCAACTTCTGCTAGCGCAAGGTCTGCAAAAAGCATAGCACGGAAAATCCGGGTCAATAGAGTTGGGAGGAAACTCCATCATTCATCTAGGATATTTAAAGAGAGAAACTCGACGGTAAAGCACAAAAGAGATCTCAAACCATGCTACACGTAAAATGATTACGATGGAAATCAAGAAATTCATTGTGTCGCTATAGAATCAAACTGGCATCATTATTAGGAACTTTATAGAAGAAGTTTGGGTAAGATCAAATCTTTCTGAATGTGCAAGCGCTGAATACTCACCCCGGTCGACTGATCCACCTGAACCTTTATTCCGCGCTGTACCCGATGCCTCTGTCAATACGTATAAATTAAATTGGAGTAAAGACAGAATAATTACTGAATGCATATCCTTGAGTAATTGTTCTCGGGCAAGTATTGACGACCGAAGTGCATTACAATGAAGTGAAAAGCCACAACATTTTTCCAACTGCTAATACATTCTCAATATATTTATCCTTCCAAGTCCATCCCTCAATGCTAATTTTAATTTCTGGAGGACGAGAGGAGATTGAGTGATTGGTGTCTTATGCTGAGTTGCAGCTAACATCTTCACTTCAGTAAGTGAAAGTGCTTTGCTTAAAGTTCATTCGGTTTGTGCTGTGGTCTCCATGTTTTGTGCAAAGCCAGTTAAGAGAAGAAGGCGTCGATAATTAGCATAACCTAGTGTGGTCCAGTTCCTTGCACTTAGGACAGACAATAGTCTCAACAAGAAACTATTTATTCTTGAGGTTTTAGTTCAAGCAAACAGAGCTTGCGTGAAATGGTGAGCATAAAGGACTAATCAGTAGGAACCCTGTGTGCTTGAAGTCTTTGCCAAATTCACGTCAAGGCGATAAGTGAACTCCGTTGAGATTTATACTTGCTATATGTCTAATAATGTCTAGAGCTCAAATATCAAAGACGACTCGACATGACCGGGTTTAACTTGGTTCTGAACTAGGGTATTCTCTTAGATCGTGTTGGTTCAGACCTCATCAGAAGGCAATCTGAAGCAATAGAAGATAAGAACAATTCATTGACACTTTCCTATCACTTCCTTTCACCTCAGGAAAGTGCCTTAACTTCCTTCGTTGTTTTATCCTTCCTAAGGGAAAGGAAAATGAAAAAGAAAAAGAGAAAGAGAGTGGCTATTTTTTTCATTAGGTGAATGACACAAATGATCCCTGAACTTTGATCTAATGTATAATGTGAATTCTGAACTTTAGCTCAGTATGCAATGTCGTCCCTGAACCTTTAATTTATTCAATGTGGTATCTGAACTTTTGATCTATGTTCAATTTAGTTACTAGATTGTACGAAAATGTTCAATATTGTCCTTTCATTAATTCAATTTCGGAGACAATATTGAACATTTGCATACAGTCCAATGACTAAATTGAATATGTATCAAATATCCAGGAACTATATTGAGTAAATTAAAAGCTTAGGGACGATATTGTACATTGGGCTAAAGTTCAGGAACCATATTGAATAAATTTAAAGTTCAAGAATCATATTGCACGTTGGGCCAAACCTTAGAGATAATTTGTGTCATTATCTTTTTTCTCATTCTATTAAACAAAAGAGAATTGGTAGAGGTCTACTGTTCTTTTTGAAATCTTAAGAATAAAAAAAGCAGAGTGGAGAACCCAATTTTGGAATTTGATAAAACAGGGATCAAGCATAGTGTAACGAAAGCAACCCTTTTTTATACGCCAATCACCGAATTCAGCTTTCAGAAAGACTGAACTTGGGATCGAATTCCGTCTCTTTACAGATGTGATGACACAATGAAATCCACGTACTTTAACCAGAATGGGAGTTCTCTTTTCAAAGTAGGTCCTTCGTTAAGAATATCACCAGTTTTAAATATCATGCCCCTGCTTTAAAGGGGTTTCATGCAAAATAGTTCTTGTGCAAGTCAAAGACAGTTTTGAGAGCAAGTGAGATTCATAAATCAAAATTGGACACAACAAGACAAAGGATATGAAGGTTTAACATCACAAAAAACCCCAAACTTATACAACTATGATAGATTTATCCCAAATTAAGTTTTGACTGCAAAAATCCCAAATTGGTGCATTTATCATAAATTTACCCTCCGTTAGTTTCCATTAAATTTTACGGTCAAATTGCCAAAATTGGATGACACGTGGTAGTCGACGGGTGTATTAGTTTGGGGTTTTACCATCCGTTTGTCACATGTGTACTAGCTTGTGGTTGTTCATGATATTAATTTAATTTAATGGAAACTAACGAATGGTAAATTTGTCACAAGTGTACTAGTTTGGAGTAAATTTGTCACAGGTGTACTAATTTTGAGTTTTTTATGGTAAAAAAATTAATTTTGAGTAAATTTTGTTTTAGGTGTACCGGTTTAGGGTTTTCGTGGTATTAACCCGAATATTAACCCGATCATGACAAATAAATTAAAATTCAAGGACCTAAATCAAGAATGAACGTCATGAGACAGCTTCCAAAGACAGGAAAAGACAGGGTATAATTCACTTGAAGTGGGAAGATCAGATGATTAATAACCTTTCTCTTTGTGATCCGAACTCAGAATATAAAAGAATAACCGAGAAACGAGCGCAAGATAATTTTATCATTCCATTTACTTCGAGCATATAGACATGCTTTACCATCTACTCAGTACTTACTCATAAATGACAGAGAGAACTAGCTAGTTCGGGTGACAGTGAGATCATTATACTCTCCAGCCAAAAAGACAAAGAAAAGAGACGACTGAAACACAAAGAAGGATGAAGAGGTGAGGGCGATTTACTTGGAGCAGCAACGAGAGCAGTGGACTCATTGCTCTTCTCTTCTGCGACCGTGATCCCTCGCCTCATGCCTTAACTATCAACTTCTCAGAGTTTTTGACTCCAAACCGTTTTGATGATTCGCAAGTGAATTGAGCCTAACCCTCTTATTTATAGTGTAGTGGCTTTGCACAGATGGGGTCCATATCTCAGCAATAGGCGGGCATTTTAGTTTTTGGCAAAGAAATAGCAAGAGAGCGAAAGCTAGCTCGTCGGTCGACGTTTCGCTTGACCGTGCTTCTTGACCCGTCTCGTTTCGAACGAAATGGGTTGGGAATAAAGTTGATAAACAGAAAGGTAAGATCGTCGTTTTTCAGCATAGAGAATAGATGCAGTGCGAGGCTGTCATAAATAAAGAGTTAGGCCCAAAGAAAAGGAAACACAGTAATGCACACCGATCTGTATTAGAATCGCTATCTTCAGTTTGGATATATGTTTGCTGTTTAGCACTAGCAGTACCTCCGAATCACTAAGGGGCTGTTGTAGGCGGATTCGGCCGGACCTACTAAAATTTCCATGGCATCGTGGCGCATAGTGGCGTGCCCCCGAGTCGAACTTTAGAGACCATGCCCAAGCATGACCACATGACTTCAGAAGAGTAAAAGTTTCCTAACTTTTCTCAATCGAGTATATACTTTCCCCTAGGGAAGGTAGAACCGGAAACCGGAGAAACATGTCAAATTCCAGAGTAGGTTCCAGATTTCAAAAATAGAGGAACCGGTTACATCGGACTTGGAACAAGTTTTTGTGTTTATTGTTCTATGTCTTTGCATAATCCTCCGGCATTCCATGACGTTCGATGATGAGTGTGTAATATAGAACCACTAATCTAAGCTCCCATTTCCGGCGATATCCATGATTAAGACTTTTACTTTGTTAATGTTTCATATTTTTCGTGCGTCTAAATATGAGTTGTAGTCAATATATTGTAGCATCAAATGGTGGTCATTAGAGGTTCAGATTCACTGCAATCGTGCAATTAAGAATGTAGGCGGAACATGTTGGGGTGTGGTTCATACTCCCTTCTGACAGGAAGGCATGGGGATCCCGCTCCTCGGTGAGCGAGCAGGGGTCTAAGGAGGTCACAAGGGCAGTACCCCCAAGTTGCTAAAGGGCTTTTATAGTTTGAGTCCATATTTTATTGGTAGTTTGGGCTTAGGCCTATAAATAGTTGCCGGATATATATAGTCTTTCTCTTGTAATTTAGGAAAGTAACATAGAGGTGCGATGCGCTAATTATAGTGGAATTCTTTACTAGACGTAGCCCTAATTAAAGGGTGAATCGGGACAAAAATATTGTGTCTCAATTTGCTTTTCTCACTTTTTACTCTTTATTTCGTTGTAACTGTGCACCCGAATCCTAATAAAATCTGGGTAAATCCTTGAACCAGCCCTAAAATCTATAACGTGGTAGGTTCCTGAGTATGCATAGTAGGTTCCAGGTGTCAAAAATTTGAGAACTAATTCCGACAGTTAGGGTCCAGATTTCAAGTGAAACCGGAACCGACCTTGAAATCGCTCCCCTCTTCGGCTTCTCTGATCCACTCAAGCATTGGAATCTCGTTGGCTCTTCAGTTAACAAAGGTGTTGTTACACGTAGGATGTTAGACTCTTATCCCAAATCCAAACCAAAAGCGCTGCCCTTGAGATTTGACAAGCGCAATTCAAGTCAGATCGTTACAATTACCGTGCCAATTATCTAAAAGAGCAGTGACGTCTTGGTTTGTCACGTTCCCCTTAAGTTTGATAGTGGTCGTCCATGCATGCTTATTTTATACGTATTAACGCTCTAGAAGCATTCATATCATGTGTAGGACTTGATGACTTTGTTTTTTACCCGCTTATTTTGCCTGATAAAATTATCTAAAAAATCATAAATCTATTATAAAGCAGACAATTCAATCCTAAACCTTTTAACAACTTATCAATTTAGTCATAAACTTTTTAATTTTGCTAATTAGTTTAGTCCTTTTGGCAAATTTTGATCGGAAATCGCTGATGTGGCTATCTAGTCAGCGTCAGCTGTCCTACGTGGCATAGTGCGGCCGGCAATGACGTGGACAATATTTTACGTTTGTATAAATTTTTCTTAATTTTTTTATAATTTTTTTATATTTTCTTTTCTTTTTTTTTCTTTCCTTCAACCAACCACTGATGAGACTCGACCTCTCCCTGCCCCTAGCAAGGCTCGACCATCACCAATGGTCGATCGCAGGCCATCATTGAGGCCCGGCAACTGGCCAGAGGAAGAAGGAAAGAAAAAAAAAAAAGGGAAAAAATTTATTAAAAAATTCAAAAAAAAAATAAAAAAATTATCTACGTCAGCATCGATCATGCCATATAAGACAGTTAGTACTGAATAAACTGTCGCATCAACGATTTCCAGCAAAAGTAGCAAAATTTAAAGATTTATGACTGAATTGATTGACGTATAATAAATTTAAGATTTTTTGGATAATTTTTCTTATTTTGCTTCGATCGAGGGATAATGAGCTAACTTTACTGCTCTCCTCCCAGATTCAAAGTTGTCTCTTTCGTCTCATAGACGCTGGTCGATAGAACATGCATATGTAGGCATCTAAACGTGAAGAGAACATATGATTTTTCATGAAGAAAACGAAACTGCCCTCTACTATTCTCTGCCGCACTCGTCCGTTTAGACTTTGCAAAGCCCGCGAGAAGAGCGCCCCATTCCTGCACGCATTGTGGCCCGTGTGATGTGTCTCGTAACAGGCGAACTCCAACTGAAGAACGAGGCTCACGCAGTGTTCTCTACTCCTCTCTGTGCCCCCCCATTCATTACCCTTCAATTATCTTGTGTATGTTGTGGGGAGTCTTCCAATGTTATATGTCACATATTGCCGGAGAGACGATCAAAGACTAGATGAAGACGATTGTCAATGAGAAGCATTTGGGCATGTCCGGCCATGGAATTCATAAGCAAACCCCGGCCGGAGCACGTTGGAGGCAGCTACAGAAGCGAAGTGCAACCGAGACTCTGGTTATCGTCTTCTTCTTCTTCCTTTTGGCCGGCGCTCTGGTTTTCGCCGTTTGCATCAAAGCGGTAAGTAGATATGACAGACCTGCATTTGATGTAACCCGTCATTACATACCGAGTTTCGTTGCGATTAAGAGATGATTATTACTCTTTAGCGAAATATTGGAACGGGCGATTTTCCTAGAACTGATGGAAGCCGCATTAATTACATTTCATTTTGCATTTCCAGTTTCAATCACTCTTTTCAGGTGCTTATCCAATACCAATCTTCGCAACTTCAAAAGTACCAAAGAAACCAGAATTCCCACTCCTATGCACAAACCACGATCTCACTCAAAAACGTCCAAGAAACTACCCGACCACTCAAAGCCTCGCCAAGCAATATCAAAACCATGCATCGACAAGTCAATGCCCATCATACTTCGTATGGATCCACGAAGATCTGCGGCCGTGGAAGGAGACCGGGATCACGAGGGACATGGTCAAGAGAGCGCGCAAGCTGACGGCGCATTTCCGGCTCGTGATTCTCAACGGGAGGGCCTACGTTGAGGAGTACAGGCCGGCGCTACAAACTAGGGACGTGTTCACCTTGTGGGGCATATTGCAACTCCTTAGGCGTTACCCTGGAAGATTGCCTGATTTGGAGCTAATGTTTGACTGTGATGATTGGCCGCTCATCCAAATGAAGGACTATCGACGCCCCAAATCTGAACCGCCGCCGTTATTCCGATATTGCGGGGGTGGAAAGACATTGGACATAGTGTTTCCAGATTGGTCTTTTTGGGGATGGTAATTAAATTCAAATTTCGCTCACTATATAAGAACATAGCAACTAACTCTTATTTTTAAAAGAAATCATTGTAATGGGAATGATATGCTTGGTACGTATATATAGGGTGGAGACAAATATCAAACCATGGGCATATGTGTTGAAGGACATAGAAGAAGGCAATAAGAGGATTAAGTGGGAAGATAGAGTGCCCTATGCTTATTGGAGAGGGAACCCTAATGTGGCCTCCACCCAAAGAGACCTTCTCAAATGCAACGTCACAGATAAATATGACTGGGATACCCGCTTATTTATTCAGGTAATACCTTTTGATTTATATGTAAAAGCATAAGAGGAAAGGAAATCGTATATGTCGTGTTAATTTAGATGAACTTCGCATATGAAATCCACGTACTATATATGAACTTACATGATCTCGGTGCACGTATGGTCTGTTAGACTTCTCTAACACATGTTACGATTGTCAATCTCTTGTGGCAGGATTGGGAGGAACAATCCAAACAAGGGTACAAGCAATCCAATCTAGAGGACCAATGCACCCATCGGTATACAGTACAGAGTTGATCAACTGCTTGCACTTGTTTTCCTTGTCCTTGGGAAACAGCTTTCAGGAGTCACTGTTCTTGTTGGATTTTGACAGCTATAAGATATACATTGACGGGTGGGCGTGGTCTGTAAGCGAGAAGTACATCCTGGCATGCGATTCCATGACTCTGTTCGTACGTCCAAATTACTATGATTTCTTCACCAGAGGAATGGTCCCCTTGCAACACTACTGGCCCATTAGGGACAACTCCAAATGCACGTCCCTCAAGTTTGCCGTGGAATGGGGCAACAATCACACCAACGAGGTTTCCCTCTCTTAACCGTCCATTCCTATTTACGTGCCAAATTTAGATTATTGACGCACTTCTATTCTCGTCACTTACAAAACAATCAATAATCAAAATTTGTTAAATGTACTGACCGTTTGATCTAATTCAAAGCCACGTCAAACCGAATGATCTTCAAAACTTCTTATTGACAAACGCATTTGACTGTATCGTTTGTGCCAGGCAAAGATCATAGCAAATGGTGGGAGCCACTTCATATTCAATGAGCTGAAGATGGAGTATATATGTGTATGACTACATGTACCATGTGCTGAGCGAGTATGCAAGGCTATTGACATACAAGCCAAGCATACCGCCAAAGGCAGTAGAGGTATGCTCAGAGGCAATGGCATGCCCATCAAATGGGACATACAGGAGGTTCATGGAGGAGTCCATGGTGATGTCCCCAAGCGAAGGAGCCCCATGCACTCTCCCTCCTCCATTTGACCCTCCTTCACTCCAAGCCTTCAGTGAGA